TAAAAACGAACTTGGCGAAATATATAACTCATAAAAACGAACTTGGCGAAATATATAACTCATAAAAACGAACTTGGCGAAATATATAACTCATAAAAACGAACTTGGCGAAATATATAACTCATAAAAACGAACTTTGCGAAATATATAACTCATAAAAACGAACTTGGACAAAATGTATCTCATAAAAACGAACTTGGCGAAATATATAACTCATAAAAACGAACTTGGCGAAATATATAACTCATAAAAACGAACTTGGCGAAATATATAACTCATAAAAACGAACCTGGCCAAATATATAACTCATAAAAACGAACCTGGCCAAATATATAACTCATAAAAACGAACCTGGCCAAATATATAACTCATAAAAACGAACTTGGCCAAATATATAACTCATAAAAACGAACTTGGCGAAATATATAACTCATAAAAACGAACTTGGCCAAATATATAACCCATAAAAACGAACTTGGCGAAATATATAACTCATAAAAACGAACTTGGCCAAATATATAACTCATAAAAACGAACTTGGCGAAATATATACTTGATGGCACTACAGGGCTTTCGTATGATCGAGTATCATATCATTTAGCGCTTTCCGGGAATCAATCAACGGTCGAGATACTGCGGTGATGATGCACAGAGCTAGTACAGACGGTCTAATTGAAGTAAAATGGCCCCGTCCCCATTGCTACAAAATGGCCAAGAAGTTAGTGCAAGAAAGTAAAAATCCAATTATGCAAGTGCGCTACACAACAATGCAACTATCGCTCCGTCTTGGGCCAGGACTACACTGAGAGCAGCGGCGTATCCGGGTTTCTCATCGGGGGAGGGGGAGGGCTGGATGTTATAGTAGAGGACGCCCAATTTCATCCGTGCTGAAATGTAGACAAGGTTTTTTTTCACCAGGAAGCGTGAACGCTTTGTGGACTTGCATACGTCCACACTGTCCACAAATTTGTTTTGAGGCATTTTTTGAGGGGTTGGGTTAATCCGTCGAAAAATGAATAGGAACACTAACGGACATCAAGAAAAAGAAATGGGTTGAAATAGTTTTCTCAGTGCGAGTAAAGTGACGGTTTTCTCCGGTTTTCAAACCAGAGAGAAAAACAGTGGCGGTTGTCTAGCCTCCCCCCGAACTAAAACAAAATTTCTATTAAAAAAAATGCACTAGCAAATGTAAGAATGTGAAGTACAAGTTTTCTGTAAGGCGGCAGAACGCTATGCTCCAATCTATAACATATTAGCTCAAGTTGTCTTCTGACACTCATTCAAATGGACCATGTTTTGTCGAACGTAAACCTGAAAAATTGACTCTCCATGGCAAACTCTTGGTGGCGCACTGCATTGTGAATCGCCTGAATTGAAAATCATCCAATTCGTTTACAATAAAACTCAGGAGTATAACTATTTCACTTGTCTGTATCATCAAACATATTAGTATAAGTTTACTTTTACAACCAACACGGAAGTATATATTGAACCTTACTTTACATAGAAGCCTATTCGTTTTATTTTCAGTGAAACAATGAAGTGTATATAGGCCTATCCAAAAGGTGTGCTATGTTAAACTTGATGACAAGTAAGACGAAAATGTTTTTTTTTATACGTTAAACTGTGGAACTCTTGAGAAAGGAAGACAGCAATTCCAGTTTATTTGCCTTTTCAATCGAATCCAACTATCAAATTGTGTACGAAGATTGTTTGCGACCAAAAAGAAATGTTTGTTGTAACTTGAGACCATAAAGGTACATACAAGCAATAAAAGTGCAGCAACAAATGGGTTGAAAAACGACCCCCGAATTCCCCGCTTAGTCAGGATTTGAATACTTCATAAACACGTTTATTTCACATTGGATTTCGTAATAATTATTCAACATCAATTTACTTGTTAAATCTCGGATTGTTAAAGTGTAGTGTTAACTGCGATACACGTTTTAATTAAGCACAATTGAAGTGAGAGAATTAAGTCAAGTTTACTTTACGATCGAACGTACAGGTATAATCAAATTTAAATTCACAATCAAACTTTTATGTGAAAACGATTTTACCGTGATTACCACAATAATACTACTATAATCGAATTTACTTTTCAATCAAACACAAGTACATTCAGTATTACGTTACAATCAAACACTATATAAAGATGTCATCATTGCTGTTGGCGCAAATATGCAAATATGCACCAATAGCATTTAACGAATCAAACATACAAGTATAATTTAGTTTTACTTCCCAACCAAACGAACAGGGCATACTCAATTGTATCTAGTTATGAAAGAATCTACTTTAGATGACATTTAAAACTGGAAATATTCCCTTTAGGCCAAAAAAAAAGAAGTCTCCGGTTTCTGGTATGCGCGCGCGTCGCCGTAGCCATGCGCGTCGGCAAAATGAAAACTTTTTTTTTTCAATAAAAGATGATGTCTCAAAACCGCCAAACTCACTGGTTTGACTGGAATCCTGCTGCTGCACAATTTTAACGTGTTTTTAGATTGGGTTATGGTCGAGAATAAGCTTTATGTGGCCTCTCTGGACTCCCATATATTTGCACTAAGTTTAGTCGGGCACCATTTGCAGTCATCAGCCGACATTTGAAGCAAACAAATCAGGTAAAAAAAAAGCCGCGTCGCCGCACCACTTTTTGGGCAAGCTCCATACCAGAAACCGGAGACTTTTTTTGGCCTTACGTATGTAATCACAAGTCCATCACAAGTCCAGTCATATGTAAATCCCAAGGGCGGATCCAGAACACAATTTTTTTGGGGGGGGGGGGCCAAAAAATGTTTGGGTCCCCCAAAAAGCGGGTCAAAAATTACGGCGTGGGGTTCGGGGCCCGCTTAAGGGCCCCGAAAAAATGTTGGATTCTAGATGCTCTGTGGTGCGATCTGAGGCAATTTCTGACCACTTTAACCAATGTTTTTTGAGGAAAAGATGGTGGTGTACTCATTGCCTGCCTTTATTGCGATGTCACATAAAAAAAAAAAATGGTTTCGTTTTTTTTTTGGGGGGGGGGGCATGGCCCCCTTTGGCCCCCCCCCTGGATCCGCCCTTTGTAAATCCCACGTCCATTCACAAGTCCAGTACACAAGTAACAGTGGATAAACAATAACAAAAGAAAATCTTTGTCAAGCTCATTTGAATAAGTTTGCGGTAGCACCATGTGAATACATCTCTTTTGTGAGTATGTGTGGTTCTGAAAAGAACCGGAGGGACTCAACACGTTTTTGTACACGTTTTCCAAAATGGCCGCCCTACCCATTTTACAAAATGACCGGTCGGGTTATTTTTGATAGCCCCCATTGTAACCAAACGGAGAAATCGAAAATTTCCACAGCATAATCACGGTGACGCTAGAGAGCACGAATTTTTTTCGGAAAAAGATCATTAGGCCTAAATGTATAATTTTTTTCGTTTTTTTTTTCAATTAAAAAAAAAGAAAAGAAAAAAAAGAGGCGGCCTTCAAAAAGAAAGCGGGTGGGGATCCTCAACATCTTTTTTTTAAATTTCGCCTATTACTCAGACTAGGACTTGTGATGGACGCGACTATATATCCATGATTTTACCTTTTTAGCAAAGAAGAAATGACACTCCATTTACTAAGGGAATAAATATATGCTTGGCCGGCTTTAAACAAGTACGTTTAGAACTCCGAGGGTCATTTTAAACCGGCTGGGGGCCTGGACGCGGAAAATAGCCCGAGCCGAAGCCGGGGGCATTATCCGCGTCCATGCCCCTAGCCAGTTTTAAACGTACCTGTTTAATACCGGCCAATTGCATATTCCCATTCATAAATACCTTTTGGTCAAAAAGTCAAACAAATTTAAAAATTCGCAAATTTCCAACGAATTTGATAAACAATTTTGCTTCATATTTTGTGAAACGCCCCTTTAGCCATATCTATGGTATGTGCCTCGCGCGCGTAGTGCTAAAAAACAACCTGTATGACGGGCTCCCTGACCACTTGCAATAGGTAAACTGTCTAATCTGTTTATGAATTTCATTTTACTATTCACTAGCTCCAAGTGGATACAGATGGACGATACTATCGAGACCATAATATATATTACACCGTATAAGACATGGATCAGCTATACTTTTTTTTTTAGAAGGTTGCAGTACAGTAAAAATTGTTTCGTGCAATTTTTTGTTTGAATTTGCTAGTTTTACACCTCTTACGAGTTAACACAGACTGTTTTATACAAGGGTGGAATCAACTGCGGCTTAACTAGCTCACTTGAAGTCGTTTCTAATATTCACCATTTTGTGACGTCACTCGATACGAATGTACGCTTACGTGAGGAGTGTGTTGTGCTCTTACTTCGCTGGCTTCGAAAGGAGACCCACCCGCAAAAGAAAAAGGATGACTCACCAAAGTGCAAACATGCTGAAGCCTCCCGTGTTTTTGCACTTATATTGAAATACTGTTCTATAGAATACTATTCTATTGAATATTTCACCCAAGTAAACCCTTGTCATTTGATTGGAGGATTGTAGGTCACGCGGCATTCATTAATCGAACCATTGCACGGCCGACGTCATAACCGTGCATTTTTGGTTCCGTTCACCGTGCATTGTCGTACCATCCCTTTTAATCCAATGCACGCCGCGCGCACGCTGTAGACGTGCAACGGCCCGGCACCCGGCGCTACGATCTTTGCGCTCTTTAGACAATATCATGCGTTATAGCAGTACAAAACCTGCCTTTGAAGTTGATGCAGTTGCCCTAATAATTTTTTTGCATTACTTTAAGAACTTACAATGTTAATTTTCATTTTTGTCAATGATTTGACTTTGATGACTTTTAAATCTTTGCTAGCATTGAACCAGCTGAAAAAGGTAGTGGATTATGATTCAATTTTGGGAGTTTGTTTGTTCTTAAAGTTGTATCCTCCAATCAAATGACAAAGATCTACTTGGATGTCATATAAAACAAATAATGAATGTTTTGCATTCGTGCAATGGTGAGAATATTTTCATTCGTTGAAAGATGGAATGTTCCATTCAACTCATTCAATCTTTCAAATCATGAGAATATTCTCAACATTGCACTCATGAACCTTTATTATTTGTATACTATTTGTTAAAACATCAAAGATCGAGTCGTTAAAGATGTGCCATTGCTAGGGAGTCCCTCGGTATTACCACTATAGGATCTGGCATGTGTCTCGGAACCTGCAGCTCATCACTCTGCACCTGGTTACGTCGCAGTCGTTTCAGCACTACATCTTTCAGCTGATCTCGGAACTGTTTGTACATGAAGCAGTACACAATGGGATTCACGATCATGTTAAAACTGATAAGCAGTGACATTGCAGCCATCACCACCGGCACATCATCATCAAAATCACGACTGAATAGCATGACGGTGCCACATTCGACAGGCGTCCAGCAGACCACAAACAGGACACTTATCATCAGGAGTGTAACAAGGACGTTCTTTTTGGCTTGATTTCGAAAATTATGCGAATCGTCACGTCTCGTTTTGAGTTTGATAAAAATTGCTCCATACACAAAGACTATGATACTTAAAGGTGCAAGGTATTCGATGAGAAATGCTACAACACCTAAGAGAAATTGCGAATTTAGTTCAGCGGCCGTTATCTGACAGCGTCCTTCGGATGGCGCGTTCAGAAACAATAAAGGTAAATTGTAGACGAAGCTGATAGCCCAGAGTACTCCAATGACTATCTTCAACTTGTGCTTGTTCACCATTTTCCGGTGTTTCACTGGGTAGCAGATTGCCATAAACCGTTCCAGCGAGATGAGGACGAGGTTGTACGTGGACGTCACGTACCCGCACCACAACAGCACATCTGAGGCCAAGACACGGCATACCAGTTGGTCGTAGAAGTTGTTTTCCTTAGACACCACAAGATTGAGGCTCTTGACTATTCGTAGGAGGAGGAACATCAGCCCATTAATAGCGTCAATGGTGGACTGGTGCAGGATGAGACGATTGGTGAAGGAGCTGAACACTCGACGTCTGGCTAACATGACGGTGATCACCGTGCCGTTACCAAGTAAAGATAGGAAGGAGGTGATCACGGTGAGTGTTGTGATCAGAGAGCCAAATTCACTACCGTGCCCGTCTTCCTTTGTAGAATTCATGTCGAGTATTTTGAGAATAGAATATGCCCTATACTTCATGCGCCGGAATTGATGATAAACTGTCGCGGACTTACTGTCAACACCCAGATATGAAAAAAGGAAACGCTGACGGATTTTATACCATTGTGCATCAAATCGCAATCACGACCGAAGCAAAGGCGAACGTCAAACTGGATTCCAGCGTATCTGATTGGATAAAATCCGTGCCACTAAGGTGGGGCCTCAACCACAAAGCTGGTTCCTATTGGCCTATGTGATGTGATGATGTCCAGTGGTCAAGCAATGGGCGGTTTGTTTTAACATGTGGTGAATCATTCTTATGTTTTTACGACTGTTTGAACGAATAGAGAATATGGTGGACAGTGATTCTGTTGTGCATGCAGTTATATGTCACAGACTTTTAGACTTGAAGAATGTTAACTCATTCGGGTGTGCAATACGTACGACCAATAGTTTCCATCTAAATGTGTACAAAACTGCATCGCATTCGCAGCAGCGCCTTAATATTGAATGGACATTTAGGATACGATTCAGTATAAGTGACAAAAAAAACCCAGTCAAGTTAATAGCATTGCTAGTCCGCATATTTGACTGCAAAAATCGATCGAAAATAGAAGATTATTTTTACATTATTGATTAACTATCGCGCGAAACATTCTGAAAAATAATTATGGAAAACCAAATGCGGAGTGTTTTATGTGATTCTTCGTTCTACTTAGTTTCTGTTCCAGAGCTGGGGGCAGGCCGGCGGTGTTTTTTTTTAATCTGCAGTACACAACGTCAATGGATTTTGGTTATTCAGTTAGTTCGATATTTATTCATAACAAAATTTGAATGGTGTCACACCATCGCTATCTCTCATTCATGCATGTACATCAAATAACGGCTTTCGTCGAGCTGCCACAGTGGCCTAGTGGATTGTGGAATGGATCGCAAGATCTGTGGTTCGAACGCATGTCCATTTTCATCCAATATTTCTGTTGGTTCGGATAAGTTTAATGGAAGGGAAACACCGCGAGACCCTAAGGGTCTTCCATTTACACAGCGTGATAAATATTCATGTTAGGGTACGTGATGTGATTGGTTAATATGCGATGTATGCTGCAAACAAAAAATAGATACGCGGGCCGACCTATAATCATCTTTGTACCTTACTAACTCACTCGCTAACTGACCGACTGACACCTGTGAATTAGACTTGCATAGGTCTCACCTTGGCTCCTCCCCAGTTTTTTGACAAATCTGTAATTGCTTTGAATTTGTGGGCGGAATCGAGATTTGGGAATCTCCCTGCTGCATGGGCGTCGCCAGGACTTTCAGGGAGAGGGGAAAAGCACATTTCCCCTGCAAAATCCTTGTACTTTCGCTAGCATATTCTCAATTTAATAATTTGTTTCTAGGTTGGGGGGGGGGGGACACTTGCCCACCCACATTGACACCCCTGCAGACGCCAATTTTGTGAAATGTGCTTTAAATTAATATATAATAGCTAAATTAATATGACTTCACACCTATTTTTCCATTTTCCCCTTTCTTTATTTCTTTTTTTTCTTTCTTGTTTGATTTTTTGTTTTGCTTTTCCGGGCGGGGGGGGGGGGGGGGGGCGGGGGGGGGGGGGGGCTAGCGCCCCCTTGCCCCCCTCCTCGCGACGCCCGTGTCTCCCTGTGTATTTTTACATTCTACTCATTCTAAATTTAGTTCACCTTAAGGAAACCTGATTCCCGTTCATTACCCCTTTCAAACGCAACCTGTTTGATTTTAGAACTAACGATGGCCAACATAATCAACGGAGAAAATAATCACGTCTCTTTTAACAAGGAACACCTTCGGAGAAAACAAAGGCCACCAATGACGTCAGTTGGACAAAAGAGAAAACTAGAGCTAATGTGCTTCCCGAAGCACGGATATCAGCCTAAATTGCCGTTTTATCGGTTTGTCTGAATACGGACTCGCACTGACCACAAGGTGATCATTGCTAAATGTGGCTGAGATTGGCAAAAGAATGTAAGAGAAACAACTATGAACATTTGACATTAAGACTGCCGAAACATAAAATAGCCGTCAAAACAATACATGAAACAGTAGTTAATGCCAGTAGATTAATCCACAAAACTGTCAAAAATTATTCACAGCAGTAGTGTTATTTATTGGCCTCTGTACTTTTTAATCCACGGTGGAGTATCTGGCTGAACACATATATCTTTACACAGGTGGCACTGCTGCTCTAACAGACCAAAAGTATGCAGTGTCAAGGCCACGTAGCGGTTGTGTGCAAAGACTGTGGAGAGTGTGGCACTGTATGTCACACAACATCCACAGTATCGTCGTGGTTTGAAACCTTCCCAGAATTCCTATGTGTTTATATTGTTTTTTATGTGTGTTTGAAAAATGAAACACTTGAAATAACTCAACAACAAAATAAGTCAGGAATATGACATTTGAGAATTAGAGATAAAAAAATACACTGAACAGGGCTGCAAAGATTTAAAATGTAAAACAGGTTTTTATTTTTTTTTCATAAAATGACCCCTACTGACCAATAGGTGACCACTGGTCAAATTCTGTGAACAAGTTTTGTGAGGCTTGGTCTAAAGATACAACTGACCAAGTTTTACATCAATTGGGTCAAGACTGTGGGAGAAGAAGCATTTTGTAAATATTCATTAAATGACCTCTAGTGCCCCTTTAATGACCAGTGGCCGGATTTTACGAACATGGCTAGGTAGGGCATGTGACAAGGTTTAATTTGGCCAAGTTTGTTTCAAGTCGGCCAACTAGTTTAGGAGTTATGGCCATTTTTTCATTGGTCACGTGACCGTTTGCCCGAAGAAAGAAAGAAAGAAAGAAAGAAAGAAAGAAAGAAAGAAAGAAAGAAAGAAAGAAAGAAACTGGACGATCACAGTATATCAGCGTGCTGCGCACGGCTGATATAATTGTCACCCCCTCAAGTGCAGTGGCAGTATCCTCCAACAAACTAATTATAGGCCTAATAGCTGATAAAGGTCTTCGGCCCTTTAAGACGAGAAAGTAACGGGAACATTATATTGTGTCTCGCTGGTTAATTACTTTTGAGAGCTGTTTTTCCGATGTCCTGTTTCGACCCGAACGTGCAATTTGTGTAAAAGTCGTCGTTGGGGGCAGCAAACAAAACATAGTAAATCGTGGCGTAATAAATAGGACTCCCGATGCAGCGTAGTATGAACAATTCCTGTTGATTACGTCACGATTTTTCTCATTTTACGAAGAACCCGACGACTGTTGATTTCAATTATGCGCTCGCCGACCAACAAATTACTCGATGAATTTCAGTTTTATAAACATATAAACGCACATTACAAAAGAATGGGACTTTGTCATTATGATATATGGGTCTACCCTACAATTAAAAAATATAAAAAACAAAACGATTTTCAGCATTCCACAACCTCTCTAAGCAACGGTATAGCAGCAGTATCCAGCCATGTGGTTGCAAAGGGTGATTTCTAAAGGTTACGTAACACTTCATTTTGAATGAAACTACGTGCACACAGACATCGAGGATTTTCTTTTGTTCCTATGTATTAACTGTTCCTTGTATTAACAGCTCTCATTGTTTTTTGTACACGTTTTCCAACCGAGGAATCCTTGATTCAGTTTCTGTCCTCGATTTATCGATGGTGTTGCACGTGTGTGTCCTCGATTTACACCATAAACAAACGCACGTTGGCGGGCGAAATCTTTGAAAGTTAATTTCTACCGTTTGAAAGACCGTATCCTTATGCAACTTTCAGGGTTTATTCCCTTATAACGATCCAAGTTTAATCGTTGTGATATGTTCGTTACTTTTCGTTGAAATTTGAAAAATAGGCCTGGCAACGTACATTTTTGAAAGTTGTAACACTGGTGTGTGCAATATCTGTCAGTCTATGCACTTAGCCTCACCAATATTATTAAGGTTTCTATCCATTATGGTGTTCAGTAAAAATGTGAGTAATAGCCTCCTTCACGAGTTATTAATTAGTGAATATCGCCCTTTTTGCCGGCTTCCATTGATCGACTAGACCCACGCCAAGTCATGCCGAGTGACGCTAATGAATATGCTAATATTCCCTTCGTACCCGTCGTTGTGTTTCCGGGCCAAAATCGGTCAACCATAGCGCCTACTAGTACGGCACTATAAATCTGAAAAGCGTGCATGTGCATTTGGTCGGAAAAAAAACCTCGTCGAAATTTTTCTTTGGAGATAGTGCAAGGTGTGACTCTAGCGTTTGCAACAACATTAAGCTGAAATTCGGAATATACTTAGATGATATAAGGGTTGACTTACTCGCAAAAAACTTCATTCCCAGAAATTATGTATTGCACTTCAGCCAGTGCTTGCACCTGTGTTGGTTTCTAAAACATCTTTTAAAATCCATGAATAACATGTTTATTATCATGACGTCACGAACTTGTTTTTTGCCTCAAGGTGAAGTTACCCATGTAATCCAAACTACCTGTTTACCCTAAAATAGCAAAGAAGTAAAACGGAAATAAAAACAAACATATTTTGTAGGGTGGGTTGATTAAAATAAATGCGTGTTTATTCTGCATTAAAAACCCCTCCTATGCAAACATACATTCTGCGCAAAGTACATGTAGTCTTTTAGGTCAAAATCAATCAACTCATGGTGTTTTTTTTCGGGGGGGGGGTGGGTTGTACAGTTAAGAGCTTCCAGCCTGCATAAAGCAGGATTGACTGGCCGTGATTGTTCTTGTGACTTGAAACAGCTATGCTTTGAGTGTAGGAGACTGATAAGCCTGCTGTGCCTTCCACTTGCCTGCTTTTGCCTGTTGACTGAATTCGACTAGTCGCAGTGCTTGCTTGAAATTTGATCTGACTGTTGATGACTAGCCTGATGTGTGAGCATTATTTTGTGTTTACTGTCTGTGAATGTTTTACTATCTGTGATTGTTCAGACGGCAGGAAGTTTTTTTACGCAGGTTGAAAATTCAATATGCTGGGTAAATGCGGGCTGGGCAAAAATTAGTTGGGCAATTTTACCTCAACAAATGGATATTATTTCCAATTGGGTAAAAAAAGCATGTTGACCAACATTGGTCAAATCACAATCTGTATGATTTGGGCAAACGTTGTCCATTTATTGGGTAGCTATTTTATGGTTTGATAAACTTACTAAAATGTTGAGCAAAGTATCTTCTTTTCCCAAAATGTTGGGAATGTTTACACGATAGAGGGCACTTTTTGCTAACTTTGCAGTGCAGTGTTATGGGCAGGCCGGCCATGCATCATCATTTTTAGCTCACGAAATTAGTTACGGAGGCAGAAGATTCGTTAAGAGAATGTGGGCTGTCGGACCTGAGTGGTACATATCTGGGTAAGAAATCAGTTTTCGTGTTTCCAAGATAATTAAGAAGCTGAGATAACCTTTATGTATGAGTTTATTCAGAACTCCATGATGCGACGAGCATCATGGAGTTAGGCCTAGCAAATGTTAGGCCCATAATTATGTACGTGTTGCCATCACGGTACACGAGGTAGCCGATACAACGCTACAAGCATAAGTGACAGCTATACAGAAATCGTTGGGATTGCCATTTCATGTCTCCTATGGTGTAGTGTTGAACATAAACATAAGTGCAATGAGGAATTTGAGTTTGATTTAAAACTACTAGGGCTGCAGGTTTCTTTAAAAACCAATGGTGAATAAAGTGGACGGATCATTGCGAAAAAAGTTTCCACAAACATTGGATACAATTCCTGCCCAACGTTTTTCAGAAAATAAATTTCTCAGAAAGTTGGGAAAATTTCCCACCCAGCACATTGGCAAAGTAAAATGCCTGAAAAATGGTTAAATGTTTTTATAAACTTTCTACTTCACGTGTGCAAATAAACACATCGTTTGAACTCCCTTTGTTTCATGCATTCTTATATAAGGCCAAAAAAAAAAATAAGTCGGTCTCTGGTCAGCGCGCGCGTCGATTTTAATCATGCGCGTCGATCTTTTTTTTTCCCAAAATGTTCCGCGGTAGCTCCAACAGCGCCCTCTATTTCCGCACCTCCTCAATTTTTTTTTTACCAAAGAGCACACCAAGGAATGGGAAATTGCACCAAGGCAAATGATCGAAAGCACCAAGGCAAATTATTGAGGACACCAATGTACATGAGGACACCAAAAAAGCAAAATAGTACCCCACCTTGTCTGTACAATCCAAGCTTGAAGGAAAAAAAAAAGCCGCGTGGCCGCGTCAATTCCGGAACTTTGGTCTGACCAGAGACCGAATATTTTTTTTTTTGGCCTAACACAGGTTTTAATTAGGGCTCTCAGTGCATTGCTAGATACTTTTTTTTTGGGGGGGGGGGTTGCGATTGATCTACTTGCAATTATTCAGTTAAGTGATTTATTTAATTTTCATATTTTGTCTTTGTTTTACTTTTCTTTGCATGAAGGACGTTATGCCACCATTATATGGACATCATTGATGAGATAAAACACCCCAGCCCTACGTGCTAGTCTTGTACAGCTAATCTGTGCTGGAGCCAACAGACATGTTTGTGATAATCGAGAAACGGGATTTACTACAGCAGTCTCTGATGATGGCCATCAATGTTAAACAAAATTAAACCATTGCTATGACGTCACACTATTGTTAAAACTGTGGATTCGGATCTACGAATCTCTTACACTGGTCACAAAGTGTGGATTCGGAACGAAGAATCTTTCGTAAAGTGTGGATTCGGAATTACGAATCCACACTTTGAACAAGTCGGACAATTGTTCCCCATAATGAGCCTGAATAGGACCGTCTGCGTGAAAATTTGTTTTCCGAAAATTACCAATGCATCTTCACTGTCACATTCGCCGCCGTCACTACAAAAACTACTTTAAATCAGAAAGAAATCGTCGTCTTATTTATCCATTTTGTCGTAAGGAGCCTATACACACAAAATGGCTTGGTTGTACGGGTGTGGACGATACACATGCTAAACATGCCAGGGACACATGTTGCAACTTGACGCCACTTCCGCGCTTGTGTACGAAGTCTATGGAGAGTCATTTCAACTTGGTATTTCCTAACAAAATTTGAAACATTTCTCAGTCCCAGATTCATGTATTATCATCATTTTTGCAACGAATGACCTTCATTGAGATGATATATGAAGCAAAAAGTGGCGTCAGGATGCAGCATTCTTTCCAATACTTCTGTTGACGCAATGGTTTAAGTCGAAGAATACACTCGCAAGTGTGGATTCTTAATTTACGAATTCACTCGGCGCTTCGCGCCTCGTGAATTCTTAAATTACGAATCCACACTTTCTCGTGTATTCTCCTTAACGGAAATCATCGTTGGTTGACATTTTCTTCTTCTTCAGAATGCTGTTCATTTAAATTATATTTATTTTTTGTAGTAATTGAATCACCAATTCATCAATATTTATTATTGTCAGCTGATCAAGGGAAACTTCGCAGATTTAATTTTAAACATCTCTTAAACAATGAATATATGAAGCCTACAATGAATATATCCTTCACAGATATAGAGTGCTAGATTTATTGGTTAAAATGCCTTATAAATGTATATAAACTCATGTCACCTGAGACGCATATACCATATTGCACATGAAGGACCCAATTCCAATATCAAATGTAATTTTGAACAGTGTGAATTGTAACAGAATGCAATCATCATTAGTTGACATTTTCTATTTTATTTTATTGGAACATGCTTAATTTGAATTGTATTTAATTATGTAGTACATGTAATTGAAAACCAAGTCATCAACATATACTGTTTTGAACATGTTTTGATTTGAGTTATATTTAATTCTGAAATGATTGAACACCAAGTCTTGACGTATTATTGTCAGTTGATCAAGGGAAACTTTGCAGATTTAATTTTTATCATCTCTTTGAATATCGTATTTTAAAAGATCATTATTTAAAAAAAAACTCAGGTAGCGGACTCCTGTAAATGCTTGAAAGGGTTTTGCTTCAAAGTTTTAAGTTTAAAAGTGTTCAAAAGTGTTAACAAGTTTGCTGTTTGATGATGATACTTATAATAAAATGTAAAACAAGCCTCGTTTTGAAGGTATACCTTATTTTGGCAATCCGCAAACACCAACCATTGGTCAACAAAATTGCCCTAAAATTGAGCAAATCTAGGCAATAAAGATTGGTCAACCTAGTCTTGTCACCAGCCGTCTTGTAGTCGACGACAAAGTACCCAACATCTGAGTCTTCTTAGTAACCAACAATTGAGAAAAACTAACCAACAGCGTTTCAAAATTATTGCCCATTTTTCGGTTAATGGCTTACCAACAATTGGTTCTTTACATTTACCCAGCCAATGGATAATTAAAAGTACCCAACTGTTCCGTCTGTAATTTTACCCAAAGTGTAGATAAACGTGTTTGCCCAACGGCCGTTGGGCATTTTTCGCCCAAAAGATGTGGATGTTGACTATTGTACCAACGTTGGGTAAAAAGTTGGGCAAAATTTAACCCTTTTTTTTGGGCACGATTCAAATTTCCTGCTTGCTGTTGTATTGTAATAACCAATCAGAACAATGCTGAGACCGAGGTTGAAATACAAATAGGCCTTTAGCATGGGGATGAGGTACAGGGAGAATGGGGTACGGTTGTATGAGTCCGAAATGAAGCGGTTTAATAGAAAGGACTCTGTTCGTCTCGCTTTGGATCCTTAGGCCCACGCTTACAGAGAATAATATCACATTGTTTAAAACGGTTTGAGGTAAAACAACTACTTTTTACCAAATATAATAAGAATATACATTGTTTATACAAGAAGAACACCAAAAGGATTTAAGAAAATAGTCTAAAATGTTCTTTTATTTTTTATGCCCTTGGATTTCGTCTTGGCGTCAGAGAAACTTAAGAGTATAGATACTATCAAGTGGGCTTACACATCGACACATCGTAGGCCAATTACTGGTATTTAACAGGTACAGTTCGTTTATTCAAGCAAAATTACATCTAAAAATCAAAGACAATGTAACAATTTAAAATACTATTTTTGAATGACAGCAACATGTTAACTTACATAGTTGTGGATTTACGTCAGATTGTACCCTCAACATGGCGTCATTACAAAACCTCTGTTGTGGAAAATAGCCTGAGCGTGTAAGTCTAGCCAGTCCACGTTCACTTTTTATGTTAACGTCTGGGTACCAAACTCTGACTAGTGTAAATACAGACTCCCGTGTTTGAATATACCCAATTGTTATCTCCGTGATCGATTGAACGGAAGTTGAGGTCAGCCAAAATTTTGATTTTGCAATAGTCATCAATTCGCATTATTTTCAAAGTATTGTAAATTGCAATGCTTTCTTTTCTTTCGAAATTTATTACAGGGTGAGTACAGTCGACTCTCGTTATAACAAACTCGTTTGGACCTTGCCGCATTGTTTGTTATATCAGAATTTTGTATTAAGAGGAACATCAGTCCCATTCATTGTGCATATAAATGCACAGTCGGGACCAAGGCTTTATGTTTGTTAAAACCAGAATTTTGTATTAACAGAGTTTGTACTAACGGGAGTCGACTGTAAATAACACGAAACCCAAATGCAAGACTAATTTCTGAGTGAAATTTTACTTTTAGCACTTTCAAAATATAGTATGTGAAAGCCCAGTCATTAAGCTTTCTTTTAGTATGAGAATCATTCAAATCACTTATGTACTTTTCAAGTTACGGAACTCAAACACCGTTTTAAACTGAGTCCTATCCACGGATCACAAAAAAGTAAGTGTTCTTTCAGCGAAACGAAAACAATTCTCATAGGGATGCATGTGAATTGTTTTCGTTTCGTGATCCGTGGACGCAACTTTAAAACGGGTGTTTGTGTTCAAAATTCCGTAACATGAAAAGTAAATGATAAAATGAGTGATTTGAATGATTCTTGTACTTAAAGAAAAGCTCATTAAATGGGCTTTGGTATCCTATATTTTGAAAGTGCTACAGGCAAAACTTCATTCCAAAAGTGGTCCTGCCATTTGGGATTCGTTTTTTTTTTACACACCCTGTATTGACCTTAATTGGATGGGCCCAGTCAGGACACAAGTAAAAACGCAAAGAATAGGACGGTACACACGTTGTAGATCCTAGACACGGTGCCCTGATGTGCTGTGTTCTCGCGTAAACTCTCGCAGGTTTTTGGGGTCATCTTTCAGGCTGCATTGGGAAACGTGGTTCAAGTTTGCTGCTGGTGGGACATGGGCAGTGTCTGTGCAACAATGACGAAGTACGTAAACAGCGCTCCAATAACCTGTGAAAGTCAAGCGGACAAAAGAAGGCACTGAATATCAAAAATTTGACATGAGATTTTCCAACAGTCTCTGAAGTGGTAGATACTTATCCTGGTTTTCTTATGGGGATGACTTATTACTAGGCTGACAAATCATCTGGTCTGAATTACGACTGTCTTTTAAGATTCCTTTCTTTATGTCGTCAGCATTCAGTGGAAGAAGACTGACTCCCGGCAAAAATAAGGAAAGAAGGCCGATGCTGAATTCACTCTAAAGATATTACCGAAAACAGTGGTTTCAAAAGTTTAAAATATTGCAAATTCTCAGGCACAAATCGTACAAACAAAACAAGGAATGCCTGACTGTCGTTAAAACAAAACCAAGCCAAGCACACAGCATAAAGCAAACGACATACAAATCACGGAAAATGGCACAAACGCTTACCGTTAACACGAAGTCCTTGGTGACTGGTAAAAAACTCCATGTTGTCAAAGCGATGGGGGCGCCATTCAGCTTTGCCAAAAACAGGGTCAACTGTAAGATATTGATGAAAACTAAGTTCAGATAATGGCGGACAGAAAAGGATGGCGCTATTTTGGTGTGGGTAGATTCGCACTTACCCAAACGTTTCCCAAACCAAAATGCAACCTCCTATTATGTTCGTCTTATCTTAAAAAAAGTTAAGTAATTATTTGGCGTATAACCCACAATAATTTGGTAAGGGGCGTTACGGCATGCAAACATTCCATGGAGGGATCAATGGGCAGTGGCGTAGTACCGTCTTGGTATCCGGCAATCCCTTTCAAACAAAATCGTGTGAAGGAAATGCATACATCGGGTAGCATTGTGGGTAGATCATCTGACGTACTGTACTTACATTTCGTGCGCACGTGTCATGCACACGCGGAAGACTTGACCCTAGGTCAATGGATCAACGATTAACATAAACCACAATAATGCAATAATTGGGCAATGACCTCGTGTTTTTTTTATGAGGGCTTGATCAGTGAAAAGGTGGGAAGGGCATCCATCGGGTTGCATTACCTGTACAGTAATCTGATCGTCTCGCTCCTGCCACTGTGATATTTCGTGCAAATAGTTCACAGCATCGTGGGCCTGCGGAGAATGGCAAAAAAAGAGCAGCCTTTAAGTTGCTTCATAATATTTTGTGATGGACTGACAAACCCGCAACCCCGGCCCGAGGTTCGACTTTGCAGACAACGACTAGGCTAAGTGTAATTTTAAAGAGGGTATTAACACCGAATTTGCCGTACATGGAAATTCAATTCATTTAGAGGAGGGATGATTAAAACACCCAATCAAGTACATTATACTGCTGAGAGTCATGTGGATCCAGTGGCGTAAATCTGTGCCGGCGAGTGGGGGAGGGGTGGGGGATGACCAAAATTCACAAATTGCCCGGCCGTTGAAATTCGAAAAGCGGGGGGGGGGGGGGGGGGGGGGGGGTGGGAGGGCTCGGGAGGCTGGACACCACATTACACCAGGGGGCGCTCTTCGAGATATACACCTATATCATTATGTATACTCGGCCCTTACATCAAAACGGCGAATTAAAAGCTTTTGTACTTTGTTTCTCCACTCTTCTCTGCTATTGACCACATTTTGGTTGTTTGGATGTTCGACAAATACCTCAAATTCCGCATTTTTTTTTCTCGTCACGAAAAAGTGGCGGGGGGGGGGGGAATGGGGGTAATTCAAAAGCACATCACCCTGGTCAAATTTTTTTTTTTTTTTTTTGGGGGGGGGGGGACATCATACCCCCATCCCCACCGGGATTAACGCCCCTCATAGGCGTAGCCAGCGTGCGGGGGGGGGGTCTGAACAAGTGCCCTTTTTAAAAAAGAATTTGTGCCCTTTTTTGTACCATCGGCCGTTCTCGTGTCTTTTTGTTTTTAAATTTCACGCACGTATCGCCTTGAAAAGGCCCATATATTGTCCGTTAGCGTGAATAATGGTCGGTTTTGAACAGCGCCCCCATTGACAGATGTTAACAGCCCCCCCCCCCTCGGCATTTCTTTATTGTTGGTCATCTCTTGTTTCTTGCGACCGAATACAAGGTGCATCAAAGTAGGCCAACACAGTCATATGGTCACGAAGGCAAAGCGTCGGTCGTTGTCAAGGAAAGCTAATCCGATTTCGTACTAAGACGCTGTAACGGAGCATTGATATTCGTGAGCCCCTAAAACATGGTCTTTTGAACATTGTGTTTCTCAGAAAATATGCTCAGTATGATTAAAATGTTACATTCTAACTGAAGAACAAACTATAAACTTCATGTCAATGAAAAAAAATCGCCGTCATCGATGCCGAAACGTCAATACTGTTTAGTTTTTATTTCATGAGTAGTTGAAAGCTTATATCATCTAAGTATATTCCGAATTTTAGCTTAATCTGTTGTTGCGGACGCTAGTGTTACACCTGGAACTATCTCCAAGGAAAATTTCGAAGAGGATCAAAACAATTATTTTCCGACCCAACCCATGTGCATCGTTCAGCAAAGCGCCGTAGGCGCTACTGCTGACCGATTTCACCCGCCAACGTGAACATGTCTGTGTACAAATAGTTTCATTCAAAACAAAGTGTTACCGGTAACCTTTAGAAATCGCCCTTCGCAACCATATGGCTGCACATTAAACTAAACTCGAACGTGGACATATTGCTGTACATAATAATATACAATAGAAACCAGTGGCTGCCATCGTTGAAAAAGAACGAGATGGAGCTATCAAAGGAAGATTGAATTAAGAGAAAAGTCTAAATGGTATGTGATTGTTCTCGTTTAATTGAGGAGACTTTAGAATGGTTTACTAGGTAAATGAGGGTTTTTATATCTTTTGTCTGCATGTGGGATTCGTTTGCTGTAAAATATCATTTATTTATTCTGCTCCCTTCGTGTAAATGTTCTCCTTTTATTGAGATGCCTTACTTAGGAGGTTCACATTTTAAACACCCCCTCTTTTTTTCCATTTGATACTATGTATTTTTCTCTCACATGCGTGTATATTTGTATTCTTTCACTGGTCCATTTCGCTGTCAATTTTAAATATATTAATTTGTTGTTTTAATTTCGAGTCCACATTCCCTGTATTTGCGCATTCCTTTTGTTTCTATGTGACGCGAGGGGTTCTTTTGAAAGCAGCTATTTTTAGCAGAAATGGACTACCCTTGTAAAAGATTACAATAGAAAAATGAAGCTCGAAGAAGACAATAGGAATTTAATATCGGGTGTCGACCTTAAACCACGCAATATAATTAAAGACAAACTGAAATGGCAGATATAATTTAACGTACACACAACTAGAAACTAGTTGATCCCAGTAAAGTTTGCCAATTTTGGAATGTTGATGATTGTTCATACCTTGTTATTCGCTGATGCTGTTCTCGTATCGATGCAAGACTTCCCTTCAATTTACCGTCAGAAGAGATGCGACTTTTGAGGGTAGAGTTCAGAGACTCAAACTGCTTCGTGATAATCCAGCATACGAAGCAGAAGATACCAGTTGCATAACAGCCTACCGACTCCACAAAGAAAGTGGCGATCGCGAGAGGTACAGCGCCAGCTTGACCGAAGGGGATTAGCAAAAAAGCTGTTTCGTTGCGGATCATTTCTATCGAAGACGTGGCCAGGAGAGTATACAAACACGTAGTTGAGGAACTCGCTACGAACGGAAGGACCACGCATGTTATGACACCGCGGCGAACCGACCGCCGGCTGATGGAGGAAAACGCTGTGGTCTCAGCTGTGGTCTCAGATGCCGAGCCAAACAGCTGCTGCAAATGAGTGATCAAAGCGGTAAATGGTTGTAGAGAACTTGAGCAAAGATAGAACCAGATAGAAGCAGACACAGCGGACTGCAAATTCCAGCAAATTATGACAGCGATGGACGGCGAGAACTGACTAGAACTCAAACTTCCCGTTATAAACGGGAATGCAACACAAAAAACGTTGAGCCACATGACCACATTGATGGAGAAGCAGTAGAGACGACGCCAATTCAAGAGCCTTACAGGCCAGGACTTGGCAGGATCACTCGGTGGATGGTACAAGCCGGTCAGGCTCAAGCTGACCAGAAGAGGCCGTAGCTCCTTCGATAGATCTACTCGATCCAGAATCTCCGATGTTTCTTCCTCACCTACATTAAACTGTTGGACTGGCAAACCGCAATCTATTGCGAGATCGCTTTTCCCGGCTACCTGTGCTGTATTTGGTGTCATTTTCCCTGCATTAGGCATTTTGTCATTCATCTCAGGGCTGAATGGGTGCAGGTTGTACATGGTTAACTATAATATTCTATGGTTAACTATGATATCTTTACTGTTGGTCCTGAAGTAGAATTGGAACTCCCACTGACCCGTGGTTTTATCACAAGAGAATGTACCAGTGATGAGTCAGCTGTTCACGATGGAAAAGGGTCCTTAAATAGCTAGATCTGTATGAGGTGCGAAAGTCGTCTTAAAAAATGCTAATGGTCTCCAGCCCGGAAACGGAAGTTTTGTAAGACATGTGTTTAAATACAAGACGACAGTTAATTAATGTTTATTCTTTATTCGGCTAATTTGCTCGCGTCATTGCTCGTACACAGCGACAAGGCCTCGTCCAGACATGGTGCGTAATGGAATGGCAAACACATTACGATCGTAAGCCGAGTTTCCAGGTAGAAGTAAAGTGACTTTTAATGTGATTTAATTGGCATTAAAAAGAGAACCGGATGGCAGTCAATTATTTCTGAACGCTGTCAGCTTTTAATAGAAAGAAAGTGCCTTGTCATTCCAGGCAAACCAGTAAAGCATTTGACGCAAGCAAAGTTAACGCAACTTCTAAAGGGTAGTTTGTACTGAAGTTCTACTTCATAGTTTAGGCGGCGAATGTAAGCTTTTGCTTAAAAAAACTCTCTACCGAAGAGCAATGTAAACGCATGTACGTCCCAGTGTGACGTTTTGGGGGACCAAGATGGCTGTTTGTTGGCGTCCAGGTGCATATGCAAAATAGGCATATAGCAGCCAGTCCATGCAGTTAGTACAATGTAGAGAGGTCAATGCAGCATACGGATAATGACAACAGTTAGTCTTGTTCCCTATCCCCATTGTCCTTCGGATTCAGGGGACAGGAAGCTAGTAGTTAACCTGACTGCATCAGCATGCATTCCTTTTGATGTATGCAAATTATATGCATGACGTGTATAGGTCTGAATCCCGCCTCGCGAATTCAAAATCACAGCGGTAATGATTGCGTGCACCAGCCTATTGCAAAATGGCTAGCTACCGGTCCCCATATTTTTTTTTTTTTGGGGGGGGAGGGGGTGGGGGCGGGAAACAGTATTATTATGACCAAAGTGAGCCTATTTTCCATTTTCTTTCCCATTGAAAGTAAATGGAGACATTCCTGAAGGATAAAATAACCAGTGAGAGAAATGCAGTTGCCTGTAGCCTAAACATCGTCCTCTCAGTTGCTTTGAAAACACGAACGGCTATACTTCCTATTCGCTGTCTGTCCAAAATCGTCACTTCAGAACAAATGCATATACATTGTACATTGTACACTGTGCATGTACATTGTAGATACAACCAAACGAGGAGGAGAGGGGTGTGAGGGACGGATGGGGTGAGATTGTAAAACACCCCCCCCCCAAAAAAAAAATATGAACAGCGCCCCTAACGTAAAATGAGATGCAACCTCCGCCTCCTCGATCCCCACTCCGCTTTTACAGTATTTGCCCGGCAGAGTGAAGGGAAAAAAAACAGCCCCTGCACAGTACAGGGGGAGTCAAAAAAGCGAAACCCAAACCCCCAAAATTATATTTCATATTTAAAAAAAATATGTAGCACCAAAAACAATAATAACTGGAAAGGCAATTTTATTAGGTACTTTTAGATGAAAAAATGTCTGGAATTGGTCAATCTGGTCAGAAAATATCACCATTTAAACACAATGACCGTAAAACCTGTCTCTTCTAAAAAAAAATGCGATTTCAAGAATCGTCGTCACAATTGTCTTCAAACATCACCAGCGATAAGTTTAAACGTTAAAAATATTCAACAGAATCCCTTTGAAGGCCCATCCTTTAAAAAAACCTTTTTTGTGATCCGTGGACAGAACTTTAAAACGGTGGTTGTGTTTAAATTCCGCAACTTGAAAAGTACATAAGTGATTTGAATGATTCTTGTACTAAAAGAAAGCTCATGAATTGGGCTTTCATATCCTATATTTTGAAAGTGCTACATGCAGAACTTCACTAAACGTAAAACAATATTCCCGACATTTGGGTGTTTTTTTTTACTCGCCCTGTAGTTTTATGAACTGAAATCTGTGTCTTCATTTTACACTGTGTGAATCTTTTTTAAATATTATTTGATTGTATTTTTTATACCCCCAATTTAACTGCTAGTGACTTGCAAATGTTCTGCCTGCTTTATATTTTTTTCCTCTGACTCCCATGTATTTTATCTTAATTTTAAATTTAATACAGGGGGGGTAATTAATTTTTTTTATCTTAAATAGGATTTAAAAAAAAATTATTTTAGTGATTGTAATCCAATTCATTGAAATGAATTTGGCGCTACTTATACAATGTATATACACAGTAGCGCACCCAAGGTGGGGGGGGGGGGGCCCTCGGGGGCTTCAGGCCCCCCCTGAAATTCATTTTGTGTTTTTTTAGTCCCACAATTTGACCTTGGTCATATGTATGTGGCCTATTTTGGAGTGGTATACATGTAATAGGGTGTAAGTGGCGCCACCAACGTCAAAATAGTCCCCTTCCCCAAGTCCCCCCCCCCAAAAAAAAACACAAAAAAAACCCCAATTTTGGTTTGCATCCAAAAAGTTTGGGCAAATTTTTTGAAAAAAATTGACTTCTAAAAAATTAAAAACTAAAACAATTGTGAGCCCCAAAGCCAAATCCTGGGTGTAGATGTATTTTACTATTATTATTATTATTATGTATTTCCATATGTCTCCGTTTGACATGATTGTATCCCAGAGTGAAGATATGTACACGTAATCATTTCTTCCCTGACCAGATGTTATAAGACGCGATGTTAACATTACCACCAGCTCAAAAGGTCATTAAAGCACAGGTGAAATTCAACGTCTTAAAAACAAATCTTGCAAACGGCATAGATAGAATGTAAACTATTCATCTCGTTCTACACTTTATTTGGTCATTAGTACATTTCACAATTAACTGGAAAAGAGCTAATAAACAAGAACTTTTAAGTTAGTTTTACATGGTTTACATATTAGAATAAAAAATACGATTGTTAAAAAAGTCTGGTCTAAAAGTAATGCTCCCATATATCTTTGCTACATTTCCAATTGCTTAAAATGATTCTTAGCACATAACACTTGAACACTATATAACTTTCTGGTGTTTTAGTCGAGCATATCACAAGTCAACAATTACATTACGTAAGCATTGGGCTTTTTTGCATTAATTTAAGCAAACTTTCTTAGGATTTGATCGTACAAAATACAATGAAAATAATTTGCCACTTTGCATCATTGAAGCCTGCAATTAGCCATTGGCTTCACAGCCAGATTAAGTGAAAATATTTAAACAATACATCCACTCTTGTTTACGCTACTTCCATTCTATGATACTTGTTGAATGTTTTGTGCTTGAAAGCGCGCGGCATGTACATTTTATACAGAAATAAACTTAACATTTTATTTGTGCATAAAACATAGAAAGTTTACTGCTGTGGAAAACCGAAGGGACAGTCGCTAAGAAAGGAAAAAAAATATACAGCTTCTATGGCAACCTGTCTAAGTATCTAAATAAGTTTCCATGAACAAGAGAGGTAATATCCAAACCCGCCAAAATTCAACACCAGATATTCCATTAGCCAAGCATCTCATAATTTACATTGGAGTCAGTGTATATTGCAATATGCTTTCTTTTGTTTAACATCATTCATGCATTAATAGAAAGTGTTACTGTATTTAACTGTGTATTGTAGTTTAGGGGACAAACGAAAGCTCCTGGTAGAGTTCAGGTTCTTAGGGCAATGTCACAAAAGGCAATTTTACAGACAACCCGTTCGAGGCAATCACCGAGAAAACCAACTTGTATTTCTCTGCATGCAGTGTTCTGCGGAATTTCTGCGAATTTAAGGATCGGGAAGATGACTTCGTTCTTCTCGGGGTTTCATTCAGCTTGCACTGCAATACATTTTTTTGGATTGCATCCAAGTTGGTCATGAAAATTGCCTGGTGTGACCTGGCCCTTGTGCTCTTTGTGGGAGCTTTGCTTCTAGCAAAACTGTTGGAGTTTTGGTAGGAAAGAAAGCCCGAGGTTAGTTATGCTAAATTGTGATCATGGAGCCTATTGTTGCTCCGGGCAGTTCTCCTCGTCGTCACCGTTGGGGCAGTCCCGCTTGCCGTTGCATCTCCAGCCGCCCAGGATGCACATTCGGTCCTCGGGGTCCTGCCCTGCAATGGCCTCGCATCGGTACGCCGTGCCTGGCTTGGTAATGTACCCGGTATCGCAGTCGACTGGACGCAAAAGAAAAGAATGGTGTTTGGTTTTATATATATAAGTGATCTCTTAATGATTTATTTCGGACATCTTGTCACAGGTTCAGGTAAGAGTTCAATACCTGTAATACCTGAATGAGCTCTTTTTTTAAAAATATTTTTCCCAGCCTATGAGATTTAGGACTTATCGGTGGAAATTATCACCCAAAGATCATGCAGATTGCACCAAACATTAACGGAGGACGATGGTTAACAAAGCTGTAGTAATGATGCGTGTTATAAACACCTTCGAAAGAGTGTGTTTGTGTGATTTTTGGAACTAAGTGATATTCACGATTGAGGTCTACTTTTCCGATTCGCAACCTAGCGAAGTGAAATACATGTATTGAAATTTAGACTTTAAGGATGTGTTTGGATAAGCCCCAAATAAACAGTGTGAAATATGCATACCCAGGTCCTTGCGATATTTAACATCTTGTTAATCCGCCCACAGATTGCTGGAGTTATGCAGCTGCTTTTGCGGTATCCAGTTTAAGTAAGTGTTTCTTAACTGCCTCTCCAACGTTTTAGGACATGATGCCGTTTCTTTTGTTGTTTTAGTATTAGAACGTCCAATTGCCCTGGATCTAATATTTTGAGACAGTGTGATTGTCGTCTCTTCGGGGAATAGGTAGGCGAATTCCAGGTTGTGAACATACTTCTTCAGGGGAGGATCCTGGGTTTTCCAAGGGGGGGGGGGCCTGAAATGTTCCAAGCAGCAAATGGTGAAGGCAAGTGGTGGCGCCTATGGTGAAGAGTGCTAGAAGAGTCTTGGTGCTTTTTCCTGTAATATACAACATTGCTTAATTTCAGGGGGGCCACGCCCCCTTGATTCGCCCTGTTCCTTTCCTATAACTTAACTGGATAATAATGTTGCTGTATAGTACGCACCCTTATGTTTGTCCTTGCAGTCCTTTTCGTCAGCCATGTTGGGGCAATCGAGGATGCCATCGCATCGTGCTGCCTTCTCGTAGCATACCCCTTCACCGCCTTCACCGCAGCTTTGGTACTTTTCAGGATCCAACTCATCGACGCGCAAAATACCCTTGATTGTCTCGCAAGAGTCTGCAAAGGTGAACAATAAAAAAAAATGGATGTTTAATCTTAAAATTTCTTTGGAACTGATCTGAAATAGGCCTACTCTAAATCTACGTCTATTACACCGTCTTTGTACGTAAACCGTGGAGGGCAATTAAGGCCAATGCCAAGTACTGATGACCAGGCTGAACCTTCCTTACAAAGTTTTTTTGCCTGATGGTGGATTGTTTTGGTGAAGCTTTGGGCATCAAACTGAACGTACACGATATTTTTTGAGAAATGTAAGTTGGGTCCAAACTTCGGAATACCCAACAAAGTATAGGCATATACGTTTTTGGAAACTCATTGTTATAATTATTTCATAAATTAACTTTGCTCTTTTAAGAATATTTCCTGTGTCGGGCTCGGCCGAGAAGAATATAGCATTGCAATTGTTGCACGTTTGATTGATTGCCCACACGAGGTAAATTATGTGTGGGCAATCGCATTTCAATCATTTATTTATGTCCACTGTCAAAATTGACTGCAATAATATTTTTGTAGTCGCTACAAATTTTTGCTTGCCTATCAAAATAATTTGGCTTTTATCTGTCGTATTAAACACATTGCGAAACCACCTACGGTTTTATGCGAATGGGCGTAGAGGTACATGTAGCTTTCCGGGAGAATTTTTATAATATGGATTTAAAAATCCCGAACGGATACCATACAGAATCCAAAACGGATACCATACAGAAGAAACCAACATAAATTATATATGTTGTATAAGATGAACAATGGGTTGGTCGACATGCCACTTCACAACTATGTTCAGCCTAATACCAGAAATACAAGGGGAAAACAAACCAAAAATTCATTCGTCAGTCACAAAGCTAGGGCCTTCCAAGATTCATTCTTCGTGTCAACTGTTAAACACTTGAACTCACTCCCTCGGCTGCTGTGAGCAGCGCAACTTGAGCTGAATTCAAGGGACATGTCAGTAATCTTAAAAAAATACATTGTTAACTTTAGGAGCTAGTCTATTTTTACACGCAGTGCGCAAGTAAGCGTTGATGTATCGAACAGGATATTTTGCTGACTGAACCTATGGAGATAGATCCCTGGTACAAAATGTTAAATGCATCATTGTTATAAGGGAGTTTTGGATTTTTGTTTGAGTTAAATGGTTTCCAAGTCATTATACGTCGGGTGTGTACTTTACTTCAATCGAGAAGAAGAAAATGAACTTACCAGAAATCTTAACTCGTTCGCTTTTCTTGACTTGGGCGTAGGCCACGGCGACCAACACGCACAGAATGAGAACCCGGGACATATCCATAACGCCGGTAGGAAGATGGCGACCTGTCTACAAGAGCACACAAAAAAATTCAATTCAATCGATTAATTAAAAGTTACATTATTTATAACTGGAGGTCTTGCAATGCCTCAGGTGTACATAATCGGCCGGATTTAGTCCTTTGAAGGGAAGTCTTGCACAATAGAACTGGCCGGCTCTCTTCACAAACCAACCACCATTTACTTCACAACTGACAGTCATCAGTTAGTGAGATAGCCAGAGGTATACACAGCGGAAGGGGGAAGGGGGTTATTCCCTCTGTCCCTCAGAGATCCGTAGGGTGGCCTTACTTTTTAATTCAGCCATTGGCCATTGATTTCGTAACATGTCAAGTTTTCAAGCAACAGACCATTATCATGTTGCGGCCATCTTGATTTTTTCCCATTCAAATCAACGTAACCAAAGCGAGGCTGGAAGGAAAAATAGTCTGGCCCCTTTTGTACAAAAATCATTATCATTGAGTACTGTTATTGGATACAGGGAACGTGACTGAAGTGGTGGCAGCATGATAAATGTCTATGCAGCCACGGGCAGTGTGCGCACGACGTGGGGTCCAACCCTGACCCCCCCTCCCCCACCTCCCCACCACAACCACCCAAAAATGAAAGATGAGAACTAAGGAATGCGAGGGAGAAAGAGAAAAATGGCGCGTATAACTATCTAATGTTTAGTAAATTTGACAGTGGAAATTGCGTGGAATTAAGGGACCTTAAAATGCAGGTACGTGACCATATAATACGCTTCAAGCTTCCACTCCTCTCGCGCTTTTGGAATTTTCCGCGGACCACCTGCTGGAAAATTTCCAAAGAAATGAAGACATAGTGGCGTCTTTCGGATGTATTTGTCCGGTAACGGACGGAAGCATTGTGGGGCTGATGATGAACTACATTTTGTGCAACATAGCGCCCCCAAGAAACATGTGGTGTTAACTACTATCCACGCGTTCTACTTGGCGAATCACTATAGGATTGATCCATACTCTATCGTCATTTTACACTCCGCGCAGTTATGAACAACATCCAAATAAAATGAAATTGATGATGTTCAACCAGAATAAGTACATCGTGTAGCTACTGTTAAGACTAAACAGCAATTTTAATCAGTGTACACCGTACAAGCGTGCACTTCGTTCGCAAAACAACATGAAGCATTGTACTACGTTTTGATGCCATGATAGAAATGCAATGTTCCATTGGCTTTAAATAATTCACATTTCTTATTTACAAATTTACCATTCAGCCACATAGAATACGGGGTGAGTAAAAAAACCAAACCCAAATTGCAGCAGCAATTTTGAATGAAGTTTTGCCTGTAATAGCACTTTCGAAATCTAGGATACAAAAAGCCCAGTCATTAAAGCTTTAGTACAAGAATCATTCAAATCACTCATTTACTTTCAAGTTACAGAATTTTGAACACAACCACCGTTTTAAAGATTTGTCCAACGATCACAAAGAAAGTAAATGTTCTTCCAGCAAAACGAGAACAATTCTCATAGGGATGCCTGTGAACTGTTTTCGTTTTGCTAAAAGGAATCTTATTTTTTTGTGATCCTGGACAGATTTTTAAAACCGTGTCTGTGTTCAAAATTCCGTAACTTGAAAAGTACATGAGTGATTTGAATGATGCTTGTACTAAAAGAAAGCTAATCACATAGGCTTGTACCTTCTATAGAATAACTGGGATTTCATATCCTAGATTTTGAAAGTGCTGTAGGCAAATGGTCATTCAAAAACTGGTCCTGCCATTTGGGTTTCGTTTCTTCTTTACTCACCCTGTGAATTCATGTACACTGCACATGTAATAATCGTGGTATTATACAAGTAATCGACGTAGTCTGTGCTTACGATTCAAACAACACTGCACAATTTTAACCATGAGTTAGAGTCACATTTCCAATTTTGAATGAATAATTTAAATTATCTCCGTAGATAATTATTATTTGAATACATTTACATGCACATAACTCATCCACAGATACTTTTATCAATTGATTAACAATTACATGTATACAAATTAAAAAAACCAAAAAACAGAAGGAGCTGTTGATCTGGTTTTCATGTTAGAAAAATGAATGTTTGTATATTTATTTTATTTTATTGTATATTGTAACTATATTGTATGTATACCTATTGATAAATGTGTCGATTTTATATTTTGTAATGTTCTATCGTAACACCATGCAATCGTTTGAAATAAAAAACCACCAAAAAACCTGGAACTTATAGTGCAAGTTTCTGTTCCAAAACGAGCAAACGCGAAACATGCATGCGGCACCAAATTCTTATGTGAAGTCATAGCACCTCTCTCATAACCATTACGCGATCCGAAAGCGCTGTGGATCCCATTTCTATATGAACCCACATTTGAAAGATTTCATTAGCACAACTGACGCTCATAAATATACAACCGGAATCTATTACACATCTATGTCATCGAAACAAGTGATACAATGGAAAGGTAATAACTAGTGTTTAACTTTGACATTCAACATTTGAAGTCAATATTCATAGAGCCAGGGAATAAGGCAAGAATGGAATGTTTGCACGCCCCACATTCGTTTCTTGGAGGAACCGTATACATGTACATGTAACTCATTCTCCTTGAGCGCTGAGCAAACTCATGAGAAAGGATGATTTCAGTGGTATCTTATTAAGTCGACAGAGCAAGATGCAGCGGATGACTGTTTTGAAGTCTGGATGCCGGGCCGTGTAAATCACAGGGTTTATGCAACTGTTGCTGACGATAAGCGCGCCAAAAAAGGACACAATTTTCTGTGATTTGTCTTCGAGAAGCAACACCAAAACTAAATAGGGAGAGACGCATATGATAAAGAAAAAGACAACAAGGAATAAAGTGAGGTTGACGTCAATCTTTCGACGAAGCTGACGCCTGGCTGGAGCAGGCTGTCTGGCAATTGATGGCGGATGGTTGGATTGTAGCTGGTTTGTAGCAAGGACCTGCTCCTGGCTGCTCGAGGTTGTAACTTGAATCGCTAATGGGTGTGGACGCATAGGTGCACCTGGTTGCAATGGTAGCCTCATGGCCCCACCAACTAGGGCTATCGGCTGCCCAGGAGCGGCGTTGACTCTTCTGACGTGTTGCCTAACTGTGTAGAAGACTACTGCATAGCTAGTGAATGTAACAATCAATTGCACAGGGTAGAGGGCGGCACTCATGATTCTGGAAAACGTAGCGGAGCCCTTGGCTGTCGGGCTGTAGGAACAAGTGGATAATTTGTCATCGTATCCGTACGAGCCAAACTCAGATATAATAGGCAAGAGTCCGACTACTAAGGGAATAAGCCAGGTCGTAGCGATTATAGTTGCTAGACCGCGACGGTTGAAGAACCAGATCGGACGGCGCATGTTTTTCCGACGAGTAATCACGGCGCGATAGAAGGCAGTCGTCGCGATGTTATTCAGGCTGCACCCGATGCAAACGATGAACACAAATCCCTGCAAAGCGCATAGATTGTCGGGAACGAGAAGCTTTTCCCTGCTGTCGCTCAGAAGCGCCAGAACCATGATGGGCAAACTCAGACACGTGATGAGGTCCGCTACGGCCAAGTTGACCACGAAAATATTGGTGGTCGTGCGAGGCTTGCGGGAGAGAACAACGGCCAGCAAGACGGCGCTGTTGCCAATCACACCGACGATGGAAATGAGACTCATCAGAGCTGCCAGCAACTGCTTTTCAGCATAACTGTCATAAACAGTTGTTACCGAACCAATTTTGTCAGTTGAAGAAGAGTTCGACATTTTGGTTTTCAGCGTGTTTGCAGGAAAGCACTAGGCCTACATTTACAAGTTTTGGTATGACTGTTTCTTTGACCATCCGGTATTTTATAGGCTTAGGCCTACTCCTGATTTTGTCTCATCTGCCTTATGTGGTCACGCACCTCTCTTATTCTACACCCTTGGGGTGTTTTTGCCTGTTCTTATTTATAAATTCATGAAGCTGAAATTAAGGTCGTGGAAAAGGAAACCCAAACTGATGAACGACCTTTCTTAAAGATATGGTCCATCATTTTTAATTTGTGCATTTTGTTCGTTTGAAGCAACAAAAGTGTTCAAAATCTAATGAAGGATACTGAACAGTTACCTGATGAAGTTTCCTCAGCTTATTCTAGGATCTCAATTTCAAATCAAAAGTTGCTGAATAATGTTTTGATTTGGGCCTGAATTCAGTGTCCGAGACACGTTCTCACTGAGCCGATTGCATCTATTCGCGATGTCGCGCACTGATCCGACGAATTATAGCAACCACACGCGCGTGTGTGTCGTGCCAATGCTTGCCAATCCTACGGTGCGTCTTAAGACGCACCGTTGGAAAGGCCTTCTTTCATTGATTACTTCAAAATGACAGCTTGCCAGAGAGAACAATTTCACAGGGAGTTTAGTCCACTTACTATCTTTCAACCAAGTATGTTTTTCAACAATAATGACGCCAGTTACTTTTCGGATGGCTGCAAATGATGGACTATAGCTTTAAAGCCCGGTAACGAAATTGAAACCAAGACACAGGTGTTGCATACAGTGACCAATCAGTGTCTATCCTTGGTCATTAATGATAAGTCGGCTCATATTCAGGTTGTTTCTTTAGGACTTTTTACTTTTACTTGGACTTTTCCATTTTCATGCCATAAATGGTCCGAACTGATACTGAATCCTATTTTCATATGTTTTTTTTTCACAGACCCGAGGGAGTTAGGTTTTTACTGACGAATACAGAAATTGGAGTGGTTGAATAGGACGGCATTAAAAATTCCATTCTAGCATCGGAGGTCGTGACAACTGTTGTGAAACTTGGCTTTCGCAAATGCGAAACCATACATTGTGAACAAAATATAGCTGGGAGTGGGAAATTCAGAAAAGCTTAAAGTCAGAGAGGATGGCGGCTTGAGGTCCTCTTACTGTTACGATTAGTACCCTCCCGTCGGCCCTGTCGGTACTAAAGCAGATTTTTAATTCTCATAAAATAATAGATTTGTTGAGTACGTTTCGTTATTTAAATCTCCCTGGCAAACTCCTAACTTAGGTAATGCAATAACAAATGACAATTAAAGTTGAAACCAAAAAAGACAGAAGCATTATAAGGGATACCTCGCTTAAGGCACATTTGCAACGATGTGAACGTTATATTCGACTGTGCGTGTATAGTGCTTAACCGTTTGGTAATGTGCTTCATGATAAAGACCTTTTTCCGTTGAAAATTCAGAGCGGAGGCAATCAATCAAAATAATCAGTTTGTCATTCTCACTTATAACAAAATTATTAAAAAAAAAAAAAAAATTAACAGAACACTTGAATACATTCCTATATAAGCCACATACAGTTCAACCCCCCACCCCCCTAAAAAAAGTACATGTGCAAACGACCAAAGAAATTGCTTAACTGTCTAAATCATGTTCGAGACATAAAGAACGAAAAAAACCCGTTGTTTGAATCCGACATAACAAGATGATACCGGGGCTTTCTTCATAAACCTCAGACTGGTATGACCTTAAGTGCTCAAAACGATGCAAAAGAAGATTAGGCCACTTTTACTCAATCTTTAGCCAGCAAATTTCTCCAAAACTTTCAATGGGCAAGAAAAGGTCCCTTAGTACTTCACCAACCAAGTTTGAAGACTCAATTTTATTTTTAAAAGCAGACTTTTCTTCAATATTACTGCAGTGGCTTGCACATGAGAGGGAAGTCAAGTGATTTCAAAATGAGGCTAAATACTAGACTTGTACATGTCCATCCATCCAACTGTTTAACAAGACCGACTTCTTTATTCATTGTCATTATTTTGGTGCCTGACTATGGAGAAATGTGTTGAAATAGTGACCTAGTACCCGACGTCCTAGATATTTCTTTTGGCACAGTCAGCTAACAGTTGATTGACGCAGTACTGAAGAGTTGTTGGACTTGTTGTCTCAGATGTCAGTCTATTTTCTTGTTATGTTTTCAGTTCCTTACGTTTTGGGACTCTCATACACAGTATTCAGAGTGCCAAATTTTCGGACTACGTATTGCATTCACCATCCATATTCGAGGTTTGTTTTGTTTTGTTTAGTTAATTCATCAGAAATGAGTGCACACAAGAGGTTTACTCTTGAGACCCCTGTTGAATAAAAGGAGCGCAAACCTAAAAAAAAAAGTGCCATTGAAGAAACGATCGGCATTGTACATGTAGCTGGGTGGCCGATAGAGTGGCCCGCCTGCATGCTTATGGTAGTCATTACATAATAGTGCAGCATAATTATAAGTAGGCGCTTGAACAGACAGTGGCGGAGAGGGCGTGTTCAATGGGCTTTAAAGCAGTTCTTCAATGGGCACGAATCCAAAGCCGCTCCCAGTCTCAAGTTTGTGAGCTACTAGCTCTGTAACTCCGAGTGTAGAACGTTACCGACTAAATCCTCCAAATATTCCAAAAAAGGCAGAGATGAGGCTCCAAATGTGTTTCACATCAGTCTACTTTTCCTTTATCCTTTTACACCAGACAAAACAAGCCTAAAATTTAAATTTAAGTCAATTTTAAGTAATTTTTATTTTAACTTTAGTGATTTTTTTTCTGGTGGAAAGTAATTCATGTATACAAATGATTTTGGGTCAACTCGTACCCGAGTTAACTCGTACCCAAGTTAACTCGTACCCGAGTTAACTCGTACCCAGGTTAACTCGTACCCGAGTCAACTCGTACCCGGGTCAACTCGCACCCAGGTCAACTCGTACTCCCCTCCTTTTTTAGTTTGGAAGTACAGATGGATGGTTAACAAAACTTCCGATTTTACCCTCAAAAACGGCGACTGAGAAATACTAGTTACGCCGCCAGAAATACAAATAAAGTTCAAGGATTAGTTGAAGGCGGTGGTATCAAATGTTGATCACAATCTGGATGAAAAGGGAAAATGTACCGTTCATCGGCAAGGGCTTCATCGCGAACGGACGGGTACCGCGCGGAGAACATTTTCAAAACGGCATTAGAGTGGTACTCGCGAGTCGACGGAGCCCTCGCTGATAAACGGTAAATTTCAATTTTCATCCAGATCATCAGATGTGTTATTTTAAAATTTGTGTAGTATTTTCTCTTAGTAATGATGTTTTTTCTTTCTTTTTTCAGAGACCCTGGATCACTGAGATTGCGGAGTGACTGTGCGAACTGCTACGTCTTTTTTTTGTTCGGTCGAACGTGTTTTAAGGGCATAGTTTTCTTTTTACGAATTTAGTATTTAAGACCTTTTTTTTTTTAAAGAAAGCTGCTATTAAAAACGAATTTTGTAATGTAAAAGTAATATTTTTCAACGTTCACTCACTCCATTTTTGGCATCATTTATTGAATAAAAACTGCACATGGCACAAATCTCTTTGGGAAGATTGGGGGCCCTGAAAGTACAAATCTGAAGAGAAAATATATTACAGGAAACTTAAAAAGAGTCACACGGACATCGTTATTTAATTTATAATGATTCTTTAATATGTTGGTCATTTTTTGTACAATTAGTTCGGTAAATGTCGTAAAAAAATCTTGTGCAGCTTAAATAAAGTTTCTGCGATAAGTTCAACTAGAATATTATTTTGGAAACAGAAATGTAGGATTTTTAATTATTTGTTTACATTTGAGGCATCAAGGAAGTAAACACGATAAAGGAAAATGGTGGCTCGTTTCATTCAGAGATGCTCTTTCTATAAGTTTTAGGGGACCAATTTGTTAGTTGATCCTTGGGTGTGAAAGATTGTTTGACATTAGCAAATTGTAATTCAAGTGCAAGAGACAATTTTATTATCTTAAACAAAACTGAGCTAATCGGGTTTCGTCCTCGAAACTTGACATCCGATTCGATTCATCATGAACTGTGTGACAGACCATCCGATCGATCGGTTTGAGCAGCAGAAAATGGTTCATCGGAAAACCACAGGATCATCTGTAATACAAAAATAAAATAAATTGATAAAAGCATGCATACTTTGGCCGATGAGTGCGCGCACAGGCCCGGGAAAAACGATGTCACCGTGCACGGTACGACACGTTGGCCGATGAGTGCGCGCACAGGCCCGGCAAAAACGATGTCACCGTGCACGGACGACCACGTGGACCGGCGAGTGCGCGCACGGGCCCGGCAAAAACGATGTCACCGTGCACGGTACGACCACCACGACCGGCGAGTGCGCGCACGGGCCCGGCAAAAACGATGTCACTGTGCACGGTACGACCACCACGACCAGCGAGTGCGCGCACAGGCTCGGCACAAACGATGTCACCGTGCACGGACAACCGGCCATATCCCTCCGATCTTCCGTTCGTTTCACTGATTTTCTTTTCGAAAATAGGCAACTATTTTGAGCTGCGGGTACGAGTTGACTCGGGTACGAGTCGACTCGGGTACGACTTGACTCGGGTACGAGTTGACTGGGGTACGACTTGACTCGGGTACGACCTAACTCGGGTACGACTTGACTTGGGTGTCAATTTTGGGGTACGAGTTGACCCATTTCCATACAAATACATCTAGAGCCTTTGTTCAAACGTTTCCTTTTCTTTGACAAAAATCTAACTTCATGTAGGGGGGCCTACCTGATCATAGACCGCCAATCTTTCTGGTCACATGGTAATCTCCGGGGCTTTTTTTCATTTGAAAACACGTTCCATCATGCTCTGGAAACAATGGCATGATGGGACCGGGGGGTAGATCTCTGCCTAATTTCGTGGTTCTGCTAACCATTGAAGCCCGCGCTTAGTTTACGATCCGCGTTCTGTCACACCAACACTAGCAAAAAAATATGTGCTAACCCTGTAACCGTGCTCAGAATAGTTGGGGATGTACGCATGAGCATAAGCAAAAAATGCCTTATCCTTAACCCTGATTTAATGCTAACCGTATGAGCACGGAATTTCCTGCTACAGTAAGCCTTACGCTAACTGTAAGCAGTGGCATGAAATTGGGCCCCGATCATTTCATGCGCTAGTCATTTTACAATGAAATATCGATGTCTTCAGAAACTAATGTCGTTACTGGCACTTCTACTATGCTACTACATGTACTAATATCCAGCGACCGATTTTTACGGTCAGTGATTTACATGCGAACGTATGGAAACTCGGTTTGTACAAAGTGTCAAACAGGCCATTATCAATTTTAAAAGTATTGCACTGATGATTTTTAAAGCGCTAACAAAACAAGGGGTGTTTTAATGTAGTCCAAAGAAATTACACACAATTTGACTATTTGATGCAAGATTCCATCTAGATCCTTTACCAACTTAATACTGAATATCCCCGACAGATTTAAATTTTGTTAGAATATTTTCAGAGTTTGTACACAATCAACAAAGCGATGAGAATTCTACATTACTGTGAAATATTTCATGAAGAAATCTATCGATATGAGCAAGGAATCCCATGAATAATGGTTAATATAGCGAACTAATCGAACATCAAAAATCAAAACAAACTTACCAGCAGTCAAGTTGAAAGTATCGATGCGAAACGGGTCGCGTTCGGCAGTGTTGGTCCTCCGAGGTATAAATGGCGACTGGGTACGGTGCTTCGGCTTGACCCCTAAAAATCTGCACTCTCGATGTAAGGCATTCCCACACCCCGAAAAATTTAAATAACAATTATCGTGCCAGCTCACAAAGGCCGTATTCAAATTCGTTTTCTATTGTGGCCTGTTTGTCTGCATTCCAACACACACAGTTCTCTATTCTTTGGGAAGGCAATCAGGGTTCCTTTGTGAATACATTCGCCATAGCGTCATCGGCCTCATGGCAAACTGCGCTCAGTATACAAGAGCAGGCTTATGTATCCTAAAGTTTGTCCTATATATATATTTAAACTGGCCTCCTCATTTATTCGGAAGCATTGTTGCAGATAAAATACGATCTCGACTGCTATTTCCTGTTTCAAATGTTACCAGAACCTTTTACCGTCCAAATCACACGATAGCTGTCAATAAATGGAGTAATTCGGAACACGGAACAGTTTTTTTTTCGGAATTGAATTAGCAACCAATAGGACCACGTGTGAAAAGTTTGTCCGTGATGGTGAACAGCAAGCTGCGCGAAGAGTATTTCGGCTTGTTTTCTCCTTAGAACTACCCCAAATCCTTTATCCACGAAAATATCCACTACAACAGACAAGGTTCTGAACAACATCCAGCAGTTGACTCATTAAAATGTTCTCAAAGTTACGCTGGAAAGATACCAGACTCTGACAGATGGTGACCGTCTTTTACACCTAAACATATTGAAAGAGAGTGCACAAACTACATGGGTTTTATAAATTGATAATCAGAATAGCATAATTTTAACTTAAAACCATCAACATTTTTACAAATTAAAGTTCTTTCTAACAATTTCTGAGACGACACTGGACCGTATAAAGACAAGTCTCTGCTTCTTAAAGTTAATAGACTCGCACGCGCAACATAAAAAGAAAATCTCATAACTTTCAATAACTTCAACGAGTTAAAAAAAACATCAACAGGGAGTTATTTGATAACAATTATTATTCAATTAATTCAACTTCACATGAAATATAAACATTAATTTGTCTTATGTTGTTAGATAATCTGAAAACCATGGGAATAATCTGAAATTTCTAAGAATAAAAAGTTTTAAGAATAAAAAGAAATGAGTCATTATGAGGCCGAGATTTTCTTCAAGGTTGAATTAGAAAAATGTCAAAAAAGAATTAAACCGACGCAAAACTTGAAAGCTGTTGTTTATACTGCCAACCCACTCACTCGGCCTTCACATTCTACTAAGTGAGTTCCCGAGGCAGGAGCGACACAATAGTAAGTTACATTAGTCATAATTCCATTCCTATGAATAAGCTATCGCCAAGGATCACTAGAGTGCCAATTATATTTCAAACACACAGATGGCCTCGAACATATTCATGTCTCCTTTATAACACTTGTTAATTTTGTTTTCAAAGTTCTCCTGTTGTTATTCAAATTTCTGTCCACGCTTTGACGCACAATATTAGAAGCTGTATTCACGAATGAGGACATCGACAATTCCATACAGACGCGTCTTTGTAATCTGTGTTTTATTGTGTGTAGACGTCATGGCGAGAATCTGACCTGAAATATTTTGAGGGTCAACGGCACTTTCATCCAATCTCAACAATTTCCCGGCATGTCTGTGTCGAATCATGCGGGGGAGTATTTTTTTGGTAGTTTGGTAGTGCCTTTTCTCGTTTAGAAAATTGACGCACATTACTGTGACATTGGTGCCAAAGTTATATTTCATGCCAAACGTGGGATTTATGATTTTCTTTTCCATGAAGAACTAGTGTTGAAAATCACGTTCACTGATATTGGTTTCACGTCCTAAGTGCTCTAACAAGGCGCATTTGCATGTTTCCGTACCGTGTGGCCTGCTGTCATTAATTTGAGAAGAAGTAGAAACATGTAAGTGTTTCCTACGAATGACTGATCGTCGGAAATACAGATTAATATTAATGATAATATTTCGTTATCAAAAAGATGCGCATGGTTTTTCACTGTTTTCGCCGAGCTCACACTGCAACAGTTAGGTTTTGAGAATTTTCCTTCGATATATGTTTGAGTGCTGTTATTTAAAAAAAACCCGAAATTATCCTATATGCCTTTAAGACAACATTTTTTAGTTTTATCGGTACAATGGCTCCATAAGATGTAACATTTTGAACCGTTAACAAAGTGAAAATAAACCATCATTTTTTTGGACGAGATTATCAGATATCATTGATGAAATATTAAAGTTGTGAACCCTCGTGCTCATCAAAACAATTATTTGTTTAACGAAGAAGAAAATCCGATTTTCGGCGTCTGCAACCCTCTGAAAAAAAGGCTTTCATTCTGCACATGAATGAACACTCCCTGCGAGTGCCGAACTATTGTCGGATCGCAAATAATTCGAATTTCGTAAAAAATAAATAATTCAATAACTTTAATGTCGGTGGGTGTTTGTCGTTCGATGTCTCATTCAGAAAAGAATTGGTTTTAGATTGCTTTCAGTTCAGTAAACAGATCTACTTTTCAAGGTGAAACTCGAAATAGCAAGGGTAATAAACCTTTTCGTGGCACTTAAATTTACTGCTGAAGAATTATCCAAGTTCGCTGTTGAACATTCCATGCACTTTATCTCATTAGCATCATGTACCAGATAATTCAAATGGGCAATCGCCAAAAATGAGTGAGGTACGCCCAAGGGCGGATCCAGAACACAATTTTAGGGGGGGCCAAAAAAAATTGGTCCCCCAAAAAAGTGGGTCAAAAAAATTACGGCGTGGGGTTCGGGGCCCGCTTAAGGGCCCCGAAAAATTTTTGGATTCTAGATGCTTTGTGGTGCGATCTGAGGCAATTTCTGACCACTTTAGCCAATGTTTTTTTGAGGAAAAGATGGTGGTGTACTCATTGCCTGCCTTTATTGCGATGTCACATAATAAATAAATAAAATTGGTTTCGTTTTGGGGGGGCCATGGCCCCCCTTGGCCCCCCCCCCCGGATCCGCCCTTGGGTATTCCAATTTGATGTAAATAAATACAACTTAGAGTAACTAAACACTTACAGTTACCTTGTATAAAATAGTTAAAAAGTTTTAAAAACGAAGAACATGAATTATCAGCTTAAAAATGTTTTCATTAAAAACGTTTTCCGTTAAACACATCTACAAAAATACGAATCCGAGCCAGAAAAAATGTGGCTTCCGTCTGGCGATTAATGGAGAAAAACGCTACCCAATTCCTCCTATTGCAACAAAAGAGTTCAATTATTTAAAGCCTTCTTAGTGAAATTTGAATAAAAAGCAACTGAGCATACAGCTCTGTTTTACAGAATAAGCTCTAAGCTTTGGTCGACATCTGCCTTTTCATATTTACCTGCTCCCCGAAATATAGTGACTGGAAGCCTGACATTTGAAACTAAAACACTTTTGAAATATTGATTGAAACTGTAATATCCTTCCACTTTTTTCCTTCTAACAAATTTTCTTCTTTTCTTTTTTGGGGGTTTATTTTAACGCAAAATCTACCTTCTCTCTATTTCGGTGTCTGCACCTCTTAAACCCATTTTGTTACGGGTTGCCAATTCGCATGCATGACAGGTCCGCCCCTGAGTAAATTGGTCCAGTCCTGCGAGGGCCGCAGCTCTATCTTCGTGCAAACAGTTTATTCGAAATTTGATAAGTAATTAAACCCATAACTAACATTGGGCCAATTCTTCTATTCGATGTGTCAATAACTAAAACGAACAACTTTTGCATAGAAATATGACATTTTACTTCATAATGGTGAAAGATGGGGATTGCATTTTAATGGAACGTTATTGATATGTGTTCCTAATTCGCAGACAGTTGTTTTGAATACTATTTACATTGAAACATGGACATTTAAGAATAATACATCCAAATAATCACTAAACACAGGGCGGGATAACTTCGTCGCCGGTGCAATTTATCTCGTCTGACAGGTCCCTGCAATCGATAATGCCGTCGCATCGCTGGCATCCCATGATACACATACTGTCGCCGCACTGGAATCGCTGCAGCGGCTCTCCGCTGGAAGAGTTCTTCCCTTCGAAGTCCTTCACGCAGTTTTCTATGAATGGACCAAGGCATAGTTAATGCTGATCAGTGGTCTGTCCGTCCATTATGTTTGTCTATAGAAGTTGGACACAAAAACCAGCTTAGGCTATGTTAATTTGCTGGCGACGCAACGCGCATTCGGTCTGGATGGAAGAGATTGCTGGCTCTCTTTTCAAAGCTCTTATAGACTTGTGAAGAGGGGTATAGTTATGCGCCCCATTCAACACCCCAGGGACCAGTGGGCTTTGTCAAACAACGCTCTCACTATGAATCGGTATTAGGAATGTGACTATACTTTAAACGGGCATTGCATCTTTGTGTGCAATAAGAGCAGAGACTTCGTGACATGTATAATTATGTACAAGCATACGAAACGCTTCTGGCAAAAACACCCCAAGAAATCAGTGAATTTCTTTTCCTTTATATGCATCACAAGATCGAACATGGACGTTTCTAATTGTATCTGTGTTGGCCCTGCGACGAGATGAATGAAACAAATCAAGATGGTCCTCATTGGTCCCGTCATCCCATGTCCGAGTAATCTCTTGTTAGTTAAACAAAATAAAAATTGGCCATTAGCATCAGTGTGGAACAGCCACTGAAGTCAAGTCATCTCTCCAACAAAAAAGTTGAATTGTGCCTTGGCTGAAGTCTTCAGGACCGTCCAAATGCCAAATGGCGGCTATGAATTTCTGTAGCCGAGCTAATCAGTAGCCGAGCTAATCAAGATCTCAACACGAATGTAAAGTAGTAGGCCCTATTCGGAACTTTTTGATTAAATTTGCCTCGTTTTATTTTATAGTATAACGCCAAAGTTTGACCTCACTTCCTCCCCAAGGTTCACACGCACTTCATAGCGACGTACTCTATGTATAAAAGGCACATTCACAGACAGCAATTTTGTGTATACCAAAAAAAATAGGAGATAAATTCCAAGGTAACACCATATAACAAATCTGATTTGTGAGTTTGTGAGGTTCTTAAAAGAATCGGGGGATCTCAACGTTTTGGACAGTACATTGTATATGACTATGAGGGATAGTGGAACTGAAAGCAGTGAAGCGTGTGAGGGATGCAACTGTGCAGTCCTAGCTGGAGGGGGGGGGGGGGGCTGGATGAAAAAAGGATAACAGTTTAGTACACTGTATGTATTTGGAACGTGAGCATAGTATAACGTTATTCACAGTTCCCGATCGCGGCAAACCTGAAATTAAATTTTTCGTCACGAGCTATAAAGAGGGCGGGCTTGGCGCCCTACTTTGTATTCGACCTCGTTTCTAATAGGATAGCAGGTAGTGGGAACGTACTACTCGACGCCATGGGACCGAGGTTGGTGCCTACCTGCGTGTTGTGTTGGGCAGTGGTCCTCGTCGGAGAAATCTCGACAGTCCAGCACGGAGTCACACTCGTACCGCTTGAGTACGCACTCGTTTCTTGTGGCACACCTAAATGTGGAAATGTTCCATAGCTGATGCTCTTCGCACGAAACTAGAAAATAAGGGAACAAAATGAATAAACACAACTCAAGAACAAAATAGATGGCTTCTGATTCTCATATCAAAATTTGGATGCCATTGAATTTTTTTTTTACATTGGCTTATGTAGCTCCCAGACCCATGTTCTTGAAACTCAATGGTTCTTGAATCTGGAGTGCCGAATGGTAACACCTGAAAACAGGTGTACAAAATAATGAATGGATGCTTTCATAGGATGACCTTAGCCAGCCCGCCCCCATTTATTGGTCTAAATTACTTGCGTTCAGAGAGTGGCAACATTTAGTATTTTATGTTGTAAACTAGGCCTACATGATTTTGCAGTCAAATTTCAAAAGTTTGTGCCAAAGACAATTCCCCTAGTGGGCCAACCATGGAGGAATAGGAACATGGGCCTGCATTGGCCAGGAAAATACTTGAAATTCCGAGATTGTTTACATTTTGACACGGCGGACATTTTGCCTTAAAACCAGCAGTGAATAAAGCCGTCGAATTTTAAGCCAAAATGTCAACAAAAGACTGGTGTGGCATAAATGCACAACTCGTAAAGAGTCCAAGTCCCACGCAAGTTTCCCAGTGCACACGAGTTTGAAGAAACGCTTTTGGAACGAAGCATGTGCAACTGGACTGCCGACTAGCGCTTCAACGGCTCAATTTTTGAGGAGGATTTTTACATGGAAACCGTTGAAGCTTGCAATCGTTCCAAAAGCGGATTATTGATCCTAGACAAAAGTACCCCAGCACTTAAATGCCATAGTGTCAGATGACTTCTAAACTGATCTGTAAATATACGACTATGCGCTATGATTTCCGCGGTCAGGGGCCTTGCTAGAAGAGGCTTAATGCTGTCGGCGAAATTGTCGGATAATCAGAAACTCGTGTGTGACACATAATATTTGGGAATAAATACCATCTCATCGACTTTAACATCAGCCCCCCCCCCCTCGTTCATAAGATGGCGTCCAAGGCCTGCCCCCCCCCCCCCCCGCCACACACACCTTTTCGATTCTGAGGCGGCAGGGGAACTAGAGAGAAAATAAGTCACTAGTTATCACTTTCATCAGTACGGAGTGGTCGCAGTGCCCCCCCCCCCCCCCAGGTGCCCCCACCCTCACCCAAAATACTGAAAATGCCCTTTTCCTTCCCTAACCAGCAAGGGTTTTTGTAAGCTGTATTTTGTTTCAGTTAGCCAAAGGCTTACTGTTTACAATTTCTTATGTCAATGGAAATATCGAAGCATTGTGGGGCCCAACTGGGTAAAACTGCAATATGACATTTGCGATATGTGCCCCAATGATATTCTGATGCCCTCCCTGTACCCCCCCCCCCAAACAATTCCCAGCCACGCCAGTGAGCGGTCGGTCAGTCTTTTTTTTATCACCCCCTCTCGCTCTCTCCCTCTCCCACCCCCTCCCCCTCCCATATTGGTGTGTCGACGGCCGTCATAGATTCAGATGTTACAACTGATCAAATGCACAAACAATTTGAAAACAATACCACTCGGGAACAAACTGGGTAAGCATTCAAAACACCGACGAAGGTAGACCCTTCCAAGCACTATATGTTGCGATCTTAATGAACAGGGAAAACAGCTATACTTACACTTTATAGCAGCAGAACAGAGCAGAGGGCAGCAGATAGTAATTGCAAGGATGAATGCAACTTCTGTCTTCATTTTGATTGCAATTTTTTTGACCGACTATAGAGGAGATTTGCCAGGTACACGTTACGACAGTTTCGAAATCGCTTCTTAAAAAAACTGACTCTTAAAATGCACGTGTATCACACTTGTAGCGCACCGTCCTGTCAGTCCAAACGCAAGTGACTAAAAATAAAAGCTCAGGGATGCATTGAAGAGCAAGATATAACAATAAAGAATTGCCAATCAAATCAAGGTGGGACACAATGACATGCTCTGTCATTGGAATGTACATGCTTTTGATTTTTGACATTCTCGCGTCGAGAATTCCGCAGCCTGTACATTTTTACTTTACGCGAATTTGGGAGTTACTCCAGCAACCTCCGGTAACCTCCGGAATGTTCTGATGCCTGTTATTGTTTGACGTGTTGGGCGTGTCATTCAAGCGCTAGTCGTGGTCCTGGACTGTATTTGGCTAGTTGTTCCCCTAAAATGCATTTGGTCCCTGACTAGCGCGGTCAAGCTGCGGTGACGGGCGAATTTGATTTCCGTATGCGGGTGAAGCAATCTCATGATAATTCAGTATTTTCGACGGGAAACTTATGTTTATTCATGAGAAAATGACAATGACGTCATCAGCATGGTTATTATTTAGTCAAATATTTACATCGATGCATTTTAAAGAGCGGCTGTCATCAGGCTGTCACAGTAACCTTGTGGGGATAATAGTGAGATGAGCTGTGGGTCGAAATATCCCGGGTTCAAATTCACTTTGGCCCCTTTTCACCGACCATTTTTCTTCAAATGTATCGTTGGGATAATTTTAATCTCGAGGCAAGAAAAGAGACCGTAAAGAAGGTTACTGATTTCAGCGGAGAGACATGTTTTGAAGTGGAAAAATTCTTAAAAATCTCACATAGCGATAAAAGAACATTTTTTTTGCATGTTGGAATAGCGCCCTCTCTGTCAACGATGCCTTTAAACTCCACTGTGAATTGTCTTGTAACTGCGAGGACCCCACACCTATAAATTTAATAATTTCGATACGGTACCAGGCACGTACGCACATATATTTCTGAGTCACTGTAAAAAAGTACAGTAAGGTCCTAAGGGAATGGTTTTTGAATTTTGTGACAAAGATGAAGCGAAATGATCTTCCTTTCAATATTAATAATCAGATCTGTCCAATAAGTCGAGAAAAAGATATTAAATTGGGCGGAGGCATTGAGGGGGCTAACGACGAAAGCAGGTGGCGGGCTTCATTAGGAAACCCAAATTGATATCTATTGACGCAAATTAATTAAGGACGTGCCGTCATACTTGAAAAAGCTTCGTTGATAGACTCAATAACCATGACCTTCTATAGCCTGGTGAATGATCTTGCAGCAAGTATGTGCAGCAGGCAGGACCGTTGAGATCCTTAAGATTTATGGCGGTTTTAGCTGCAGCACAGGATCTGGGAGCGTAAATCCCCGGGGGATGGAGAGGATATATCCCCCACATTTTGAACAAGGGAATGGACCATTTTGATCCCTTCCCACTTTTCTGTGGTTTTTCAAACTTTTCAACAACCAAAATGTATAAAAATAGCACTGAAAAATGGAGAGAAAAGTACAAAAGCTTGAAATGCGTCTGGTTTGTTTGCGTGTGTGATTGTGTGTGTTTGTGTGCTCTTACTTGGCTTTACGACCAGGTCCCTTTGTCCTCGAATGCCGGTTTGCGCGCTTAGTCTACGGGAAAGGTTTAGATAAGGGAACAAAGGAAAACACAAAGCCGATCCTCGGAAGCATATAGCAAAAAACGGCTGTGTGTCTGTGTGTGTGGGGTGGGGGGGGGGGGAATTCTCCTCTGAAGTAGGGCCGTAGGGGACAGAATGTCATACAGGAGGAAAATATTTCCTAGGGAAACTGTCCGGGGTTCACATTATCCTGGCAAAACCAGGAGAATCAGTCCGGGCGATCACACCGACTGGAAAGGCATCTAAAGAGCAAAAGACAAACGAATTTCGTGACGTCGAGTGGTTGCCTATTTACAGAATTAGGCCTATGGTTTTATATGAACCGGCCTTTAGAGAATAGAGTAGCGCCATCTGTCGACGAGAATTTGACGAATTTTTTTTTTAGATCGCTCAGATATGGGTCGTTGACATGGGCGGCAATTAGGGTGATGGAGGATGAACGGGGGGGGGGGGGGGGGGAGGGGGGGGGGGGGGGCATCCCCCGAATATTATTTTGGACAAGGACACCAATGGCGATGCCTCCCCCATTAATTTATTCAAGAGTTTATACTGGAATGCTTTAAGGCTTATTGCGATACTCCTCTTGTCAAAATTTTGGTCTTAAAAACGTTCAAACTATTTCCCGAGCAGTTGGAGAATTTTATTGCATGCACCTCCCCCCCCCCTCTAACCGTACGCCTATATCATAACCATTAATATGGTCAATCACTAACACAGCATACTACTGAACTCCAACTTCAATGAGTCGAAGAAAATGGCCCATTTCTTTAAATCTGCTTTAATTAAGAGATGGAGAGTCTTCTAGCATTGCCCCCCACCCTGGAAATACTCGGAGGTCTATTCATGGTATTTCGATAAAAACAGTGTTCCTCAGTGCACGCATGGTCAGTTGGGTGTGGAATGCCATATAAGCCACGCATGGTTTTTCCATCAAAGAGATAATAATAAAAACCTTCATGCTGGCAATTAATTTCTATTATATAGGAAATATGATGATTTCTGTATGTATCAGGTGTCAGTCTTCACTAAATGTTAGAGTATTGATGGAAAGTGTTTAGCAATTGAACATTGATGTATAGGAATTGAAAACATAAAGTGTGCTTAATTGTTAAACACAGTTACCGTTTTCTGTAGATCGCAGTTTGAAATTCCCCTGTAGTCGCTGTCTTTGGAGAAAATGTTGTCAATACTTTGTTGGGTAAATGTCTCCTTTAATTTAACGGGTCCTTAAGTGGAAATCGGTATCAAGGTCAATACTACAATAATACAGTTTGTTGGGGCGAGGGGGGGGGGCGCAGCATTATTATCAATCCACGAATGCGGTCCTTACAGCGGGGAAAGAATGCCACGAAGGACACTATTTAAATCCTCCTGTCTCAGTTGGGGATTTATTCATCATCAGGGGGTTTATCACTGAAGTGATATCCGTTCATATAACGTCGCACTGAGAGTGTCATTATGCTCACGGTCCGTGATTTGACACATATTCCACAATCGAACTCCCCAGGCTACTGCCTCATAATCTGCGAGACGCAGTTTCCAATAACGACATTTTCTCGGCGTCTCGCTGCGATGATTTCACGGCGCATCGGGCACGGAGGAGATGGTCAGCGGGCGGCGCTCAGACGTCTGGGAGTGATTGGTCTCAATTCGAGCCGTCAACGCCAGACGCAGAGCATTTTGCAGTCTCAGATGTTGTTTGAACGTCCCGGAAAAAAAGTGAGTGAAAGAGGGCGCCCTTCGTGGGTTCGCAAGTGAAAAGTTGAAGTGGTCTCGTTTTATAGCGTATATCTTCACTTTGTTGTGCCAATGATTCTGAATGACACTGAATTTCCATATGATGATCATGTAAGACTCAGAAATGTGAAAACTCGGTAGCAAATTTTGCCATGTGATTAACTACCGCCAATCAAAACGTGAGTGGGCATCTTTTTTTGATGATCTGTTACACGGTACCCTGCGGAGAGATGGGTATAATAGGGAACAAAAGATTGAATACGTCTCCATACACAGGGCAATTTCTACGGGGTAAATACGTCTCCACAAGCTTATCACGAAATAGATATATGGATTTTACTAAAAAACTAGCAATTTCCAAGGTGTGTTGATCCATTGCAAATTGAAGTATTTTATGTAGGGGATATTAAGTCCGAATATCAACCCATGGAACTTAATTCTGGTTAAAATAGGAGCATTTTGAAACTACACTTTCAAACTCGAAAACTTTAGTACACAAGAACAATGAAATGACTCCCAAGGATAGAAATTCCACTATGTATGCGCACACATGTTGTTATTGGCAATCATCATGGCCAATAAATGTGTCTAGGCCTAGTGTAACTAAAAACGAAAAATCGGAAGAAGAAAAACACACACAACCATAATAAAATACTATCCCGGTTATTCAATAAATATATATAAATTCTTTAGAATTCAAGTTTCCAACGTATCTGGACGTCTCGTGGTTCTTCATCGTTTGGAGAAATAATGGAAAATGAGAACAAAATATTATTGATGCAGATTCAAGCCCGGGCTTTTTCAAGCAATCTTAAATTAACATCGGAATCGCCACCCCCCCCCCCCCAAAAAAAAACCCCAAGCTCTCGTAAGTTTGTAATGGGTCAGTAAACTCATAATTTATAATCAGAAATGTTGCCGCTACCTGTGAAATGTTGTGTAAAACTCAGCAAATAGCTGTCGCCGAAGGAGAAATATCAAAATGCGTCGCATTAGGAGAGCGAGAAGACTTGTTATGTCAGTGACATCGCTGGTTAATGTCAAAATGGTATAATCCACTCGAGGTACCAAAGGTTCATATTTGGCCCATCGATAGGACCCAATCATGAAGTTTACTAGGACTCATATTTTGTGCAACTCTCTACTCCTCTTAAAAGTATGAAAACTATTTGAAATCCCGTTTTGGTTAATTTCATTGAAAAGTGCACTTTTGTAAACATTATTTTGATACTTTCCGTGCCTTTTCTGACAAAAGAGGGCGCTGTTGCTAAGCTGTCATTTCAGAAAGGCACTGTTCAGTTTAAGAGTTTTCTGATAATCTGCGAACCGAAAAGTTGATCATTGAAAACATTTGTGGGAAAACTTTGCTCATTGGCCTTGTCATGTTCTAAACCAACAACGAATCACCAAAGAAAAAAGATGGAAAAAAATGACTTCAGGAAAATGGCAAATTTTGATGCTGAAATAGCTGTGACATTGAGGTTTCTGCCTGAAATGATATCACACTTATGCTTATGAATATGCGAATTCGCGTTAACATAAAAGCCAAAAAGGCACCAAAATGCCCTGAGAAATGGCAAAATGAAAAAAAAAATAAAAAATAAAAAGAGGTTAAATTGGACACAAAGGTGCATTTCTCAGGATTGCATTAGAAAAATACAATACATTAATGCTTCACATGAAAGTGAACCTGCTTCTCGTTTTAAACGAGACGATTCAGCTTGAAATTTAATCTTTTGGTTTTGCGGCTAAATAACTTCTATTTCCATACCCAATTATTGCCGCTCATTGGG